TTTTACCTATATACGCAAGAATTTCCTGACCGAGATAAATCGGTTCGATGTAGACATACCACCGCGCTCGAGAGGCGGTAATCCATATATTACGTCGGGGGGATGAGAAATTAGGATTTTCGAAGATTTTTATACCTCGAGTGTCATTGAGATGGATATTTTTTCAAAAGAGAGGGAGAGCCACTTGGCACGGTTTGTGTTTGATAAGTTTTCAAGACATTGAGCTCTCGAGGGGTAAAGGGAGGGAGGAAACGAAGGCGAATTTATCGCTGCGGCGCAAGTTTCGAGTACCTGGGTTCTTCTCCCCTTCCAACCCCCTCTTTGTTCACTCGACGATGGCTGATCAATCGCCTTATTACGTATATTTAATTCTTTTATGTGTTGAGCATTCAAACGCGAATTTTTTTATGAAAAAATAGGGGGAGAGAAATCAAGAAGGGAAAAGCGAATCACATCTGAAACGCGAACCTACGTGCGCAATATCTCGAAATTCGCCGTCGTAGAGCTTCAATACCCCGTCGAGATCTCCTTACTCGTTCAGTATATGGGATCTTTCGAATTTCATAAGACTCCAGCAGCTCGGTCCCCGATAATCCAACGCAAAATCATGTCAATCCTTTTGCTCTCCGAGCGCACATATGTATATACCATATCCTCTCGACAATATCCTGAGCTTCCTTCGCTTGGATAGAGCCCTACCCTTTTGGGGTGGAAGCGCAAAGAACCAGTCTGAGGCCGAGATTTAATTTTCGTCCAAGACGACTCGGACCTTCCTCTCGTTACGATCTGTATAGTGTATATGTATATACCACGAAAATTCCAATTTCTGACCTTTCCGACCCAACCGCTGATAGGAGACCGACGGCGGCGAGTCGCTTTTTCAGGCGGGGATTAGCCAGTACCATCGATCACCCACCCCCTGCCACCTCCTCTTCGTTTCTTTCTCCCTGTCCCCTGGTGCAAAAGCCCCTCCCCGCCGGCCTTTGGCTCTCCTGTCGCACATACTCGAGGAGAAAAAGAGAGCGGAATGAAAGAAAGAGGAAAAAAAAAATTAAGAGAGTGAGGGAGGGTAATCCCTCTTTTTTTCCGACTGCTCTTCTTTTGTCGAATCCGACGCCCTCGTCCTCTCAGGACACACCGCTGCCTCGTCGTTGCTGAGAAAAACAGACATCGCCGAAGGGGGGGGGGGAGGAATTGGACGATACGAGGCAAAAACGAGGCCTCGAGACGAAGCTCCGTCCCTTTTCTCGCGTGCGTGAGCCTCATCCTTCACCCTCTCCCGGTCCTTTGACTTTTCCTTACGTATATACCGTATCACTCTTGTATTACAGCTGGCATCGTTTTTCTTCGTGCCTCTATACACCACTCATCGCGCGATGTGTCCTCTTTTGCTATTTGTCTCTTTTTTTTTTTTTTTTTTTTCCCCTGGCCTTTCGATTGTACGTGTTATCCACTCGTTTGGCGAAAAGACAACCGAGTCGGAGTGTGTGTTAGTGCCGAGAGTACAGAGAGAGAGAGAAAGAGATAGGCGGTAAGTTTCCAGACAAATTGACGGCTTTCTCCTTGGTTCGCCTTGTTGTCGTCGGCCGCTTTTATTGATGAGCCGAAAGATAAACGAGAACTGTGGATCACGCGAGTTGGAGGAAATTGAGAAATCTCCGTGTATTTGGAGGAAAACACGCGCGTGCCGTTTCATCGTTTCGCAATTTGAATTATTTCGAGGGAGAGTTCGGCTAAATTGTTTGTTCAAACTAACGCTTGGATGAAATTGGGCGCGATTTTTTCATTTCTTTCCGAATAAAGTGCATTTTTTCGTTGGAAAGGGGTTTTTTACACATCATTATTCACAATACATCTCGGATATCAAACTTTACCGTAAATCATCCGAGAAAAAATAAATTTAATTTTTTTTTATTTTATTCAAATTGCCATTGCATTGTTTTTGCTGGAAACAAATTTCCTTAAGCTCTATCTTTCACGTAAGTAGTGATGAGAAAAAAAAAAAACTCTTTAGCTCAAAAAATCCATTGCATTTTTAATTAAAAAAAAAAACTACATTGTACAAAAAAATTGTAGACTTTTCAATTAATTTGAAACAACTACTTTATCTTAAAAAAAAAAGATTGTACTCGTGGTAGGCTATGTCGCTCTTGCATCCTTTATTTATAGAAAGGAGTAAACAAATAGCTGCAACAGGCAGGGCTGGGGAGATAAACTCCGGCGAAACGGAAACTACGAAATTCCGGCGATCAAAAACAATTTGCGAAGCAACGGAGCCCGATATAATACAGGAGTTGTCCCAAGCTCAGCGCGGACGAGCGGAGCGTATATGTATATGTATGCATTATCTTTGTACCACCCATCTAAACAACACTGGGCTCTCTCCGCTTTCTCTCATCCACGCGCGTGTACTATCAAAGATTCGTATGTACGCAGGAGCGGGCAGTTTCAACCGGCACAACTGACACCACTTCGATAAGCCTGATAAACTGCCAGGGAGGGAATCGTCGAAAAGGCAGTCAAGTTTCGACGACCGATCGAGAGGAACTCGCGCGCGATCGGTCCACGTATATACAATATATGTATATGACGATGTCGATACATACGCCCACCCGTGAGCTTCTGAAACTCTCCTCCACCCTCTGTGTCCGCGAAAGCTCTGCAGATACGTTCGTGTAACCGTATATACATATGTTGCCGTATATCGGGAAAAGCCGACACTCGACATCAACACCACATCGATGGTACGTAGCATGGGTTCACACCTATGATCCAATTTTTCAAAGCGACAAGTTTCATAGTACCTCTTAAATTTCGTCAAAGACAGCCGAGTTGAGCCTCCTTACGCCCAAGGAGCTCCTTATAACGTATAAATATACAGCGCTCGAGCGAGGGAAGGTTCACCAACCCTATGTTATATGATGCATGATTGATGCCTCTGTAACGAGGGAGTGGGTTCTTGTGTGGTTCTACCATACACACTTCGATTGTAACCTGTCAATTTTACGAGGTGAACTTTGGTGGAGCTTTCAAGGTCGCGTGTTGCAGGTGATGAATGATGGTTGGAAACGTGACACGTATACCTTTTATACATGCGAGAGTTTTTTTTTTTTTTTTTCTATCGAAGGGAACAAAAAGTGTCAATGCGTTGCATCGTGTGGCTCTTCTGTCAAAATCTTATTGGATCACTGATTGGTTCGCGATCAAAGTGGGAAATATTCGATTCCGGTGCATTAAATTGATGAGCTGGCAATTGGAAATTTCATTAAAATTTTCGAGAGTATCGAGTGAACGCTTCATCACCAGTTTGATGGAATGCTCGTTAGTATACCAATCGTCTTTTTTTTCATTACTCATACACGTGTTGTATATACATACAAATGGAGAGGCGATCGCATCGATAAAAACATTCAATTAAAAAACCTCCACGTATTTCTACGGCCGAACGCGCAAGCGAGTTGTTTAAAGGGACGACCATTCAAAACCCACAATAGATATACATCGAGAAATAAAAGCTGATCGCGCAGATCCTTGATTGAATCGCATTTTTTTTTTTGTTGTTGTTTTTTTTGTTTTTTTACCGAAACGCGTGTATGGAAAAGTTCGCAATGAACAATAAATACAACTCATTCACGTGCTCGCTCGAAGAGAAGGAAAAACGCAAATCCCCATCAGCTATCGAGGCACGTACAGTGCACGAAACGACATACACGCGTGGGTACAGAGGGAAAAAAGTTTATTACGCGGTTGGAGGCGTGAAAACGATAATTTACATGCAGCTGACGCGTCGCGGGAGGGGGAGCTTTTTCGATTAAAAAAACAAGCGTACAGGTGTATTACCCGCGCCGCGTCGTCGCGATTAAAAGCGCAGCGCGAAATTCAATCGTCACCGATATACCTATACGTGTTACACTCCGGAAAACAATACGCCACCTTTTCTCCTTGCTCAGCTGTCGTGCATCAACTCCGCGGTAGGATCGACCGACCGTTGTATACCCACAGCACAAGCGTGTCACTCGGTATGCGGAGATTGTGTTGTATATATGTTTGCGAGGGGGGGGGGAGAGCGAGCATTATAAAGGGGAACGAGGTCAGGCAGACGAAGTTCGGCGACACACATAATCCGGGGCTCTAATGACGCGGCGCTCTCGCTCCCCCTTTTCCGTCTCTCCAAAGCGGTAATATGCGTATACACGCTGACGCTCGCGCGCCTCTACTGCATAATCACCCGTAGCGCACGTACACGTACGTACATGCACAAAAGGAAAGGAAGAAGCGGATAATCCGTCGGCGCTAGGAATGAAAAGCGAAAAAAAAAAAAAAAAAAGGTAGTCGAGGGAGGCTTTCCCGGTCCCTTTCGCGGGCGGGAATCAAACGCCGAAAGAGCGCGAATCTTCTTTTTTTCCTTAACCAAGAGTCTGCGTATAGTACTTTAATTCAACCCCTGCGCACACACTGTGCCCCCCCCCCCCTGCAACGCGCATACGTGCGCCTAATGGCCTTAAAAAAAAAAAAGAAGAAGCTAACGCGCAGCCCAGGAGGGAAAGATCGACTCGAAGCTGCTCTCGGAGGAGAGCAGGATCTTTGATGTCCCCATTAAGGCGCTTGAAAGCTACTGCCACCCCTTGCCCCCCATCGCTTCTTTTTTCCTCCTCCACTATGCACTGCTTCTTCTTCTTCTTCTTCCTGAGTGCTTTTGCTTTTATTTTGCCCGACTTGCCTTGCGAGAAATACTGTTACGCAAATTATATCTGTACATGTATACAGGGGCAATCTTTCTTTTATTATTACTTTGCAACAGTAGAAGAGCCAGCAGTGCAGGGGGTACGTCTTTTTTAACGGCTCACTTAGCGAATGCATTACGCTGTGAATTAATAAAGGTGCCCCTTATAGGGAGGGGGCAAGATATTGCCACCCGAAAGCTCTCGGAGCTAATTATTGCTCTCTATTAGATATAAAAAAAAAAAAAATTAATGTATTTTTCCTTGGTTTTGTTGCAGATGCACCGTAGGATGCCGTTGACGACGCTCCTGCTCGTGCTGATCCTAGCGGCGGGCGTGCTGGCGGGAAGCGAGGCGGCCTTCTGCCCGAACGGGTGTGACTGCGACGACGAGACCCTCGTGGTGTCGTGCATCAACGCGAAACTCGACGTGATCCCCATCGCTCTGAACCCGAGCATCCAGCGCATCGTCCTGCGCGAGAACCAAATCAAAATTGTCGACGCGGCCTTCCAGTTCTACGGCGACTTGCGCAACGTCGACCTCTCGTTCAACCACCTCGTGACCATACCCGACCGCAGCTTCGACGCCCAGAAGCAGCTGGTCGAGCTGCACCTCAAGCAAAACAAAATCTCGGCCGTCACAGACAAGACCTTCTTTGGCCTCCAGTCCCTCACGGTCCTCAACTTGCGCAGCAACTACCTCGAGACCCTCACCAACGGGCTGTTCGCCTCGCTCGAGAAGCTCGAGGAACTCGACCTCGGCCGCAACCGGATATCCAACGTAGAGCCCGGCGCCTTCCAAAAGCTCGGCTCCCTGCGCGTCCTCTACCTCGACGACAATCAACTGCAGAGCATACCCTCCGCGGCCCTGGCGCCCCTCAACGCCCTCGCCGAGCTACACGTTGGCCTGAACGCCTTCTCCTCCCTGCCCGACGACGCGTTCAAGGGCCTCGAGCGACTTGCCGTCCTCGACATAACGGCCGCTGGCCTGGACAACGTCAGCGACGACGCCTTCCGCGGCCTCGGCGCCCTCAAGAGCCTCAAGCTCAACGCCAACAAGCTGCGCGAGGTGCCCACCCGGCAGCTGTCGGCCCTCACCCGGCTCGAGGAGCTCACCCTCGGCCAGAACTTTTTCACGTCCGTGAGGTCGGGGGCGTTCCGGGGCCTGGCCAACCTTAAGAAGCTCGAGATATCGGGCGCCACCCTCCTCGGGACGATCAAGCGGGGCGCCTTCTCGGACAACGGGAACCTCGAGACCCTCGTCCTGAGCAACAACAAGCGGCTCTCGGTCCTGGAGGACGGGGCCCTGGCCGGTCTGCCTAACCTACGCCACCTCATGCTGCGCGACAACGACTTTGCCAGCTTCAGCGAGCCGCTGGTCGCTTGGAACGAGCTCAGGCGGCTCGACCTCAGCGAGAACCCCGTGTTCTGCGACTGCGGCGTCATGTGGCTGGCGGACGTGTTGGCGCCCCGCAACTCGAGCCCCGTCATTTGCGCCGAGCCGAAGGAGCTGCAAGGCAAGCCGTTGCGGGGCATGCGCCCGGACGAGCTGGGCTGCGCGTTCTCCGATCCCAGGAAGCAAGCCCTCCTGGCGACGCTGTGCGCCGCTGGTGTGGCCTTCTTCGTGGGCGCCGTCTTTGTGCTGTACTATCGGTGCAAGCGCCGGGTGCGGGACGCCTTCAAGGACTACGAGTGGAAGAACCGCACGATATCGCGGAAGGAGCACGAGTACCAGAAGACCTTCTCCGAGGACGAGTACGTGGTTAGGGCGGCTCACGCGGCAGCGGCTGCCGGGCACCATCATCACCACCATCACCACCAGCAGCACAACAACAACAGCCACCTGAACAACCACCTGAACAACCCGCACTCGTCGCTCCACTTGCACCAGCAGCAGCAGCAGCAGCAGCAGCAGCACCACATCACCTCCGGTGTGAAGCCAATACCGGTGACGGAGCTGTAGCTAGAGCTCCGGGCAGCGAGCCCAAACAGTAGCGGTGTCCACCACGGCGGGGGAGGAGGCGTCTGGTTCCTGCCCCATGGTGGCACGACGCCCGCCGAGGGCTTCACCTACATAGACGGGGAGACGGCGCACAAGCTGCGCCGCAGTCCCCTGGGAGCGCTGCCCGGTGGCTCGGCGAGCCTGCGGCTCTGCACGAGCCCGAACTGCACCAACGGTGACCTGGCCAACGGCTCGGCGGTCCAGCACACCTACAGCGACCTGAACTTCACCTCGCTACGGCGCAACGGGGGCCGCGCGGTCTCGACGGCCCGCAGCCCGAAGAGCTCGCCCTCGCCCCCGCCCCCACCGCCCCCCAGGTATCCTGCCCAGTACCCGACCCTGCCCATGAACAACGGCAGCGTCTGCCACCACAATCGCCAACAACAACAGCAGTCGAAAGAGCAACAGCACCGGGAGCCCGGCAGCGCTGGCACGCTGTCGTCGTCGGCCAGGGAGCAGCGGCGCGACAAGCACCGGGAGTCCGGCAGGCGCATGGAGCAGCTCTCGGCCTCGTCGCACCAGCAACGCCAGGAGGAGCTCGAGGTGGTGCACCGGGGCAGTCTGGCTCGGCGCGACATGGCCGGCTACCACGCGTAAATCATCCCATTCGCCTGTTGCGGGTGAACACGATGAAGAAGATGAGAGGGGGTGCGCTTTGCATGGACCTTTTTTTCTTCGCCGTAGCACAAGTATAATATGTTCGAAAGACTATGGAGCTGTGAGTTGTCGCGGTTGTGGGGGACAGACACAGAGACACGCCGACGGTTGCAGTCGGTTACTTTTGATTCCGTGCCCGTGATGTGAAACGAAAAGCAATTCAGAAAGATGTGCGTGTATGTGTGTGTGTGTGTGTGTGTGTGTATGGATTATGGCGATTATCGGTGAGCGTGTGTCGGCGATACCGGGATTTAAATATTTATTATATCGTATATCGTTGTGGAAAAAAAAAAAAAAAAAAAAAAAAAAAAAAAAAACTATACGTGTCGTATGATTAAGCTTATACAGTTGTGCGGCGTATTTATTGAACCGACCAGTGTTGTGTCACTTGAGATGCTTCTTTCTTACGTTTAATTTAAATATTATCATTGGCAATCCGAGCTCCGATGATTGTCCGGTAGTGTGTATATGTGTATGTGTATGAGCGCCGACGAATCAATTGAATCGTTTTCGTTTGTACGGTTCATTTGTTTTTGTCCTCGCGAAGACGATTCACTTGGTTGCTAACTTGATTGTGCGAAAGGTGTGAATAGATTTATTACAAAATCACAATTGTATCTATATGTATATGAAAATTTGACTAGTCGCCGGGACAAGAATCTGCGTACGAGTCGAGCCTCGGATTGCCAAGAGGGATTAATTACATAATAGTACAGTGCGAATGATCGAGCGAGCGAGTGTATAGGTAAATAATTATTCGTGTACGTCGTTCAGTACAAAGAATCGATAAGCGATTCTTGCGCATCTACTACGAGTCTTGTCGAGCGAACGCAAATAGAACAAAAAATACGAAAAAAAAAAGAAAAAAAAAGATATAAGCAATCTCGTGTAATCTATGAATGAGGTAATAGACGACCGGTACGTTGCTATAGGATAAAACTCGTGTAAAATATGATAGGCTGTACGGTGCAGAGCAGTACCAAGTTCGATTTCTAGAAAACGGTCTATACGTTGAAGCCTCGATGGATCCCATTATCATTAAATTAAACGAGGACTGTGACGGTACATACGCTGAGGGCGTGGCGTACGACCTTAATTAAAACGGACGCTAGGAAGCAGGTACATATATTCGAAACGAGGGGAGAAATGGAAAAAAAAAAAAAACCATCCACACACACGTACTACTTATTACGGGCTTCTTTTTCTTCCCAGCGTACCTATGTATACATGGCGAGTATGCGGCAACGCTACGCCGTACAGACGAGTGTATAATTCTCTCCGCCCTTTTTTCCTCCCAACTATAAATTTCAGTCCTTCTCATCGTCTATCTGCACGTATGTGTATACGTGCGTGCGTCTCGTTCGTTGACGTGCGTCTCTCATTAAGGGAGACAGCCCGCGCGCGCGTGTGTGTGTGTGCGTTGTCCGCGTATATATCTCAGCAGAGGGTCGAAAAAATACATACAGCACCGCCACGCAGAATTAAAGAGAGAAGCCGGGGAGCGGAAAACGAGTTTGCTTTTTCTTATTGGCTCGCGTGCGCCTCGCGTGTATTAAGATGATTTCAATCGGGTTTACAGGGTTTCTGTACATCATCAACGAGTGCGGTGAGAGCGTTTGAATTATTTTTCCACAGAGTTAAACGATGACAACAACAACAACAACAACAACAAAAAAAAAGGTTACCGATAGAAAAAGAAAGGGAGAAATGCAAAAAAAATGCTCGCCCCTGATTCCCTTTTCCGTTTCCGTTAACGAAGGCCCCATAATCTGCGGCCCCGATCGGACCCATGCTCGAGCAAAAGGTCCCTTAATTGGTCCCCCAAAGAGGACCAAAAAGAAAGACTGTGAAAAGGGTATCACTGCATCTACGGGAGAAAGAGCGGAGATAGACTACCGCGGGCTTCGATCGCGGATTAATTAACTTGACGAACCCGCGCGTGTGTATATATACGCACGTACAAAATTTGCAAGCATGGCCATTTTTTTTTCGCTCAAAGTGTTTGTAATCTCGATCGTCATCTGCGAAACCGGAGCGATCGCTTTGAATTTCCGATGGAAGATCAATTTTTTCAATAATCCGGACGCACTCGCGCGCACGCGGCCTGAAATTTTCATTATTAAATTCAGTTCGACTTTCATTACGTCTCGCTCAAGGGCAATATCGGCATCCTGGCGCGCCCAACTTTCCCAAACCACGTGCACACGCGCGAGGAGAGAGCCATCGGTCCTTGGGTCGTGGCAAAAAGGAGGACGACGAACCGCTTGCTCGTCGTTTCGATGAATTTTTATGCGAGCGTCCCTCGGGGCTCTCCGCTAACCCTCCGAGTATATTAGACCAGTGGGTGGAGAATCAAAACTGCCGGGAGTAAGGAAAAAAAAAAAAAAAAAAAAAAAAATTAGTTTCCTCGCCAAAGTATATATACACGAGTCCTACTCTCTCGTTATGCGCCTTTTGCAATATTAAACTGCCGGGAATGAATAAGGAAAGAAAAAAAAAAGGAAGACGAGCCAGCGACGACGAAAAGAAACGAAGCTTGTCGCCGTCGTCTAGTCGTCCTTTATCAGCGAAACAAAAAAGCAATCTCCCGTACATTTTTCACGTCGTCCTTCTCGTCTCGGTTCTCTCTTTTCCCCTCATTGCCGTAGGGAAAGGAGAAAAAAAAATAAAGTTATATATATACACACAGAAGGCGAATCTAATAAATTAAATGCCATCTTTACCATTAGCAGCAGTAGCAGCTCTCGCGCTTCGCTTAACCTCATTACGCTTTCATCATCTCCCTATTCTGCGAGGCTCGAAAATCTCGTTTCCATCCCCAGCGTATATATACACTCTGGAGCTAGAACAACACCACCTCGAGTCCTCGGTATGGATGACGAAGTGAAAAAAGAAATAATGCCGTTGTTTCTCGATAGAGCTACGAAAGCGGAAAAATCGCTTTTCAAAGTGGCCAAGAAAAAGGGAGGAAAAATGGATACTCATCCTACATCGAGGGGCGAGGGAGGGAGAAGAGAAACACGCGTGCCGAATGGTACACGACAGGCGAAAAAGAGCTTTAATGTATCCCACAAGTGCAGTCGAGGGGGTCGTGTGTGCCGTACCTCCAGTATTTCACGGCTCGCACGAGTGCCAAGTCGTTACGTCACTTTTCTTTCGCGACCCTTTTTCTTTTAATATACGGACAGTGCTCGCTCGTTGATCGCGTTCGCGTATACATGCGCTATCGCGATAAGGGAGTTTAAAAAGGAGCGAGGCCAGTGTGTGTGCATTTGTTGGTAGGAACGTTGTATGCGGTCTGGAGCCGAGACGCTGGATATTGGTCGCTGATGGTTAGCCTTTGGTTGGAAATTTATCGCGTTTCGCTTGTGTTTTCGAATTTATGCGCGGGTGAATGAGAAATAGTGTCTTTTACCTTTGCAGGGAATCTTTCGGGCGGTTCGCGGATACATTTCAGACCCACTATATAATCTGTTTTAGATTCCTCAAGGAAAAACGTAATTTTTTTTGATGATTTTGCAAGAAAAACACTGTATTATTAATTGTTTTGGTTGATGAAAATACAACTTTCTTAAGTATATTGTTTCGAGTCACACGTAAACAGGTAGATTAACCACGTACGGGTCGACGTAGGCGATGAGGTGCTTTGGTTACCTAATCGCGAATATAAAGAGATGTTTCCGAAAAAAAAGAAAAGAAAAACCGGTCCACTCAAGCAACGTGCCCTGAGAAACTTGATATTCACAAAGAGGAGCGAATCAAGGCAATTCCCCCGCACACCCACGCGCGCGTCCTAGAATCCGAGTAGTCCCCAAGAGCGGTTCCGAGCAATTTACGGGGGAGCCGTCGATCGTCGCGAGCCGCCGCCCGCCCGTCCGTCCATCAAAGGGAGTTTGTAAGCTAGTTCGCACACACACGCGCGAGCCTCGGATCGGAAATTCATCCCAGGCGTAACGAGCTCGGTCTTTGTTCTCAGGGGGGAGGAAAACATCGCCTTTGGTCCACCAGAGGAAGATTTTGCACTCCCCTGTACGTGTATATAATATACACACGTACAGGCGCCTCCGGGCTCTCCCGTGTTTAAGGATCGGGCACTCGCCATCCACCTCTTTGTGCACCCCGTGTATACACGCGTATCGCAGAAGATTGTTAGCGTACCGTACGGCTTTGTGGGCTTCGTATAGGTTTTGATACATTTTCGTACCTCCAAAATTGTAGTAGTTTTTGTTTTGTCTTTCAAGTGATCATAGATGATTGATTTTTTTTTTTTCATTTACTCCATTGAACTTGATTCGGTTACTGAGCGCTTCGTACGTATTTTTTTTTTTTTTTTTTAAATAACTCTGATTTTCCATCTCGTTTTCCCCTTACAAAACTCTCCATAGTCACAGGCCCCACTAGGTAGAGTTCCCACACCAATCCATACGTACGTATGTATATGCTCGGAAATCTGTTGTTACGGGGCAACAAAAGCCGGGAAGCGAAAAATCAGCGCTCGAGTCCAGGCACTTGACCCGCAGCGTTGGCTCCCTTTTGCCACCACTGCCAGTACACTAGCTCCTTTTTCAATGAGCCCAACGAACCGAGAGGGCGCGCGCACACACTGCCAAATGCAGCTCGGCGAGTCAATCGAGCGCACGAGCTTGTACAGTTTGTACTGAAAATTCCAAAGAGTAGTAGTATATAGTACTAGTAAAGTAGTAAAATATCAGTAGTTACAAAGCGGGTGGGATAGATAGATTGTACTGTTGGATCGGTGAAAATCGTTAGCGTTGACACGATTCTCATCAGCCGTTGCAGCTAGTTGAAGTACGATTTAATTTCGCCGGACGTCAATGAGATAGCGCTGCTGCTGGGATTGAAAGGAAAAAAAAAAGGAAAAGTGTATCAACCGAGGACAAAAAAGGGGCACGTCACACGCGCGCCCGAGACGTAAATGAAATTCATTAAGAGGGCGATCGATTTTCAATTAATGCCGATCTCGTTTCGAACCTGCCAGGGGGGAAGGAAAGAAAGAAGGTCCCCGGAGCAGTCGAATGCACTCAATTAAGGAGACTCTCGAAGCGCGCGCGATTTCTCGCAGCCACTGGGAAAAAAAAAAAAGAAACTACCCGATCTCGCGTACGGCGATACCCTAGATCGGCCGAGCCGATTATCCAAATCCAAAGTCTCTCGACCGAACTCTTCCTCTCCCAAAGTGCGAAAGGAGCAGCGGGGTGAAAAAAAAAAGAAAAAAAAAAGAAGGAAAGAAATAAAAAACTTGGCCAAGAGCGTGGGAGCTGGTGTGTGTACACAAGCAGCCGTTCTCGCATACCCGGCACGTTCGGCCCGATCGTCGTTACGTCGTACAAGATAGAAGTGTGCAGGCTACAGAAGGCGTACGTGTGCCGAAGTAGCAAGCGAGCGAGCGGGGAAGAAAAAAAAAAGTTTCCTGCAACTTCCAGCTGGCTGGCTGGCGGCTCATTTGAATCGAGTGATTCCTCTGCCCCTTTGCCGAGGTATATATGGGATCGATTTCCGCGTACACGGGAGAATCGTGCTAATAAATGTTTCACGCGAGCTATAGTCCGCCGAGTTTTTCTCGAGCGCGCGTGCGGAATCGTCTTTCTCCCCTCCGCTCGAGAGTTTCCACGGGTGTCGGTAAGCATGTGTATAGGCACAGTCGCGGAGGATGGGATAAGCGCGATTTCGCGTTCGAAAAGAAGATTCGTGAGCTGGAACAGTTCTTTTTTTCCCCCCTTCAAATTTTTCACGGGACTCCGATTTGCGTACGTACAATTTTCATCCGCGGATCCAATGAAACAAGTTGCCCGCTCCGTCAAATTCGCACAAAATAAATATACTTTTCGATCGGTAACTTTTTCCACTCGAACAACCCACTTTCCGCTGCCGTGGCTCGTAAAATCAAATACTCGCACATAAGACGGCACTTGAGCTATAGTAGAAGCCTCCAATGCGCTGATGAAGCTAATTCGAACGCACAATCACTGCGGGCCCTTTGACGGCCGTGTATGCGAAATCGCCTCCGAGCGAGGGGATTTGGAGAAACCGAGCGAAAAAGGGCGGGGGCGAAACAAAGCAATCGGAGCCGAGCAATCGCGAATTTCCGACTGCCCTCTCCTTTCTTGCTTTTGCCTCGCTGGAAATCCATCAAGTGCATGCAGCGCGCACGACAATAATCCCCACTTTGGAGAATACATAAAAAATCGGCCTCGGCGAAAGTTGAGCGGAAACGGTACGGGTAACGTAAAAAAAAAAAAAAAAAAGAAAAAAAAAGCAGTAAGTGTTAGAGACGAGAGACAAGCAGAGCGAGCGGGCCGCTTGATGGGTCTCATAGCCCGAGGGGTGGGGTGGAAAAATCGATTTCCCAGCCGATTTTCGTCTCATCTGCCACGCCCTGGAAATTGTTGCTCCAGGATCAAATGCCATTAAGGTCCCTGCGTACACATCGATCTCTTGTAGCGTGTACACGTACATGCACACTCGTGTGTACCTTAAAGTAGGCGATGCATGACTTTGAGGAACCCTATTGAGAAAGCAATACAACGTGCCCCTTCTGTGTACATTATATGTGGCACCGCCGTTCGTCCTTTTCCCCTCCGGCATCTTTCTTCGCGCAGCTATCTCGAGAATGCCGATATATACGCGACACGAACACGCCTAGCTCGTGGATTCTTTTTCCTCTCCTCGTGACTTAATTCGTCATTCCGAGCGCTGTGTCTTCGTACGAGTCTTCTTCCCTCCTCCCCCTCACATACGTATATGTGTGTTTCCCTCTTTGGATGGATAGATCGAGTGGCTTGGTCCGTAGGAGATGCCAGGGGGTTGTTTCGTTGCGCGTGGAAATAGTCTGGTTTTACGTGACGACCGTAAATAAACTTTTTTTCTTTCTTTTTCTCTACGTTTGTTGTATCGTGTTGTTTTCGCGCACAATGATTCGAGTGTACTATTTGTCAAACGACGAACACTGCCATTAATGTGAAAACAATTTTTCTTTTTCTTTTCCTCTAAACAAATAAAAAGTACGAAAAGTCCCATTCGATAAGTCTCAGCAATGAAATCGTGCATTATTATATCTATACACCTGTTTACGTACCACCCACACCAAACTTGTATTTAACACTCGTCTATAATCGCACTTGACGTTTCGAAGTAAAAAAAAAAAATAATAATAATAAATTAAATAAAAGTAACGATGTACAGTTACGACAATTGTAAATACGTGTATTTTTTTCTAACAAATAAATATATATATATAAATAAATAAATAAATAAAATATACTGAATGAATGAGAGGGAGAGAGAAAAGAAATAAATAAACAGCGTTTCGATTGTACTTAAGAGAGCGATGGTAATTGCGCCTGAATTATTTATAAACAAAATTGTACTTTGTTAAATTAAGGCCACCGAATCCAATGTACGGATCTCCGAAAATTGTAATTTATATACGTATGCCGCTCGTGCGGAAGAAAAGAGAGAAGAAAAATTAGGTCCGGAGCTGATTCGATGGATTAGAACGAAATGCGAAAGGTCGAGGGATACGTGTATATGTAACAACGCCTGGACTGTCGGGACGCGGCAAATGTATAGCGTGCCATTATCATTTTTTCTCCTCCTACCACTATACCTACACTGCGACGAGTACGACTCTGTAAATACATTCCTCTATTGTAATGTGTACGATCTATGTGTATAATATCCTCGCCGTTGATTATGATTATGCCCGCGCCGAGATCGTCCCTCAAATTATTTATTGTCCACGAGCCCGAGTATCGTGTATAAAGGAATAAGACAAAAGGCATCGGAGATAAGTTTGTTTGCATCATGAAAACGCTTGGAGACTATACGCTCGCTCTGGTTTATCGATTCGGAAGTTTTTATAATAATAAATTCACGAGTTGAAAAGAGTAGTTTTGAACGATATCCATAAAAAAAGCTTTGTTTATTTTGTTACGCCAAACAAGTTTTGTTTTCATACATCGCAACTGGCACATAATATGTCCAGGACTTCGATAAAACAGGGCATCAGTCTCGAGAATCATCCATAGTGTACCCTTAGTCATCCAGCGAACGTTATCAGCGTTTTCGTGTGGCTGTATAGGGGGAGGTATGCACACCTCACACTCGCGATAACGAAGCGTAAGAATAGGCAAGCAAGCAAAAAAAAAAAGAATATAAAATTGTGTACATATAAATATATACGTCGACGATCAAAGCGTGTGTGTGTGTGTGTGTGATGGATAGCGCGCCTCTGGGCTTTATCGGCGCATCCTCCTTTGCGCGCGATTCTCGAATTAATATACCTACTCATTCCCTTCTTTTGGTACGAGAACCACCTTCGCACAGCCCAGACAAGATAAGGCAGAAGTGCCGCTGTTGTGGCGTTATCACACTCCGCCTGTACTTACTGTGTACATCACCGCGCGCGAGAGATGACGCGCCGATAAAAATATGAGAGGGCGCGACCGAGTTCTTCAAGGATGAAAGATTAAGGAAGTATTGTGTGTGATATTTTTTTTTTTTTTTTTTTTATGCAAGAGGGAAATGATGGTGATGATGGAAAGGAGTGCGCGCAAGTTACGTCACATATTACATGTACATCTATAGGACATCTAAATGCATTAAATTATACATATTATAAATATATAGTTATATTTCAGCATTATTTTGTACATAATCGACTTTACTCGAACAGATACTCGATGAATCATCAATAAATCTATATATATAAAATAACATATCATGGCATTACCCTCGTTATTATTGGATCCCTCGACCAAGGGCGCTTTGGGCATACTTTCCAGATTCCATGTGTCCTTTTTTTGCCAATCCTCTTCACGTTGTTACAAGCGAAGCATAATGGAATCAAAGCATTATTATTTTTAATAAAGTTTCATGCTCCGATGGAAAAGGAATTTTCGTTGACAAGAGATTAAATTTATTTTCGGACGGTGATATTGGATTTTTTCATATCAATCAAACATCAAAATTAAATTTAAAAAAAAATTTGATAAAGTCAAGGGACCCAATGTTATTAATTAAAAATAAATGATTGAACGCTTCATAAACGTCAAGCGTATTCAAAAATACATTTTTATTATAAATATAACAAGTTTGCAACAACTGCAGTCACGTCGGACTCTACGTTTCAACAAAATTGGAACGCAACTATAAAGATAATAATAATAGAAAAAAAAAAAAAAAAAAAAAAAAACGTAATACACATCAATCGAAACAAAAACCTCCGAGCTGCTCCATAAATTTAACGATCTACTTTCCTGAGGTTAAAAAAAAAGGTAAATTTATTTCAATACCGAGAAACAAGGATAATGCATCCTCACGACCAAAAAATTCTACTCGAAACAGGGGCGTAAAAAGTGCCAACGACTTCTTCGCCTGATCACCGACACTTCCGACCGGAGTATGCAGTACACTTATTTCTCGGCAGACTGTGCAGCACCGCAAAAAGGCCCGGCATTCAAATGAAGCCATTACCACCGAGCAGCTGTAAAAAAATCCTTATACCATCGTGGGAGAAAAAATTCAAGGAGGTAAAAAAACAGCGGTGCGCTAGAGCACGAAAACAACAATGATAGTAAAAATAATAATAGCAGTAAAAACGAGGATAATCACAAGGTGGGGCTAGCTGAGCCGCGACGCTTGGCGAGAAGGTTGGTGGGTCGCGTGGCGCGGGAGCGTTTCCTGAGCTCGACTGACTCGTCGCCGTCGTCGTCGTCGATGTACTGATAGGCGTAAACGCTCGCCGAGGCTGGATCGACGATCGATATCGGGAGGTGCGGACTCGCGGTGTCTATCGATGCCAGGCTCAGACTGTAGCGCTCGTAGATCGTGAGGTTGTCGCCGTGCTGGCGCCTTATGTGCAGCTCGTTCGCGGTGTAGGAGGCAAAGTTCGTGTCCGATACGTAGATCGTGCTCTCGGAGTCGACCTGGAATTTTTCGCAAAAATATAGGCTTGTTTTTTAACATCTTTTTTGACATGCATTATAATACACGTCTATCTCGTGATTTTGGGCGATAAACAGTTTCAAGAGTCACGTATGCATTACCTTGTTTTACCCGGTTACACTGTTCCCATTAATTTATGCAAGATGAATTGCGCAAAAACATGACAGTAAATTGTTTTGTCATTGGTTATATTGTCAACAGTGGTATAACGTCATTGCATTTGAGGTGATTAGTTATTTTCTGTGCAACGTACCTAAGACGTGATTTATTTCGAATTATTTTGCTTGAAAATACTACATGGTGCAAAAAATTGGAATGTTTTTTAAGAAATCACAATATGAAATACAACTGTTTTAACATCGTTAAGGAAGAAAATGGATTCAAAGTGAAATTTTTGACCTATTATTAAATCGTCTATTGGGTATCGTATCTGACGTTCAGATCAAATTGTATACGTATGTTACAGATTAGATTTTTTATTTACTTCAGACAATCACGTCACGTGATTTACACTCTTCCTCCAGGAGGTCTAACTAAAGAATTCTTTGCTGCTAATCATGATGAATAAGTGGGTAGGGTATTATTTTTGATTTAATTTGCGATTATACCGAATGAGCTTGGCTCTGGTGTTGGCCCCTCTTCGTTGGACTTATCGACCATGTGATCGGGTTCGTCCTGAGAGGGATTGCCCACCGAGTCCTCCAGACATCATTTGGCATGATCTGAACCATATCAATTCCTATATACGGAAGATTTTGGTTTAGGCTTTCAACGAAACTGAAATTGAGTTGGTTGAAGAGCAACTTATAAACTGAGTTCAATCATCTCTCTTGCAGGTTTACCGGCGCGGGCGCCGCGACGGTCCGCCGCATAGCGGATGAAAATGGCACTACGTCTAATTTAGAATAAAAATAAGTATACTCGTATATTCGAATACAATTGCAAAGTAATTTTGTGACACGGACAATGCTGATAGAAAATTTAATTCATAATTAATTATTATTTAAACTTTTTGTAACTTTAGCTTGTATTTTATATTAGTGAAAAGTATTAAACTAAACTACTCGGCATTGAATTTTTTGCGATTTGTTAATAAAACTTAGCGAGCTCCGAAATACTTGAGTATAAGATGGTAATATTATTTCTATGAAATCTCATAATATGGTGTACCTACAACCAGCTGTCCACTCAGCATTGAAATACGTCATTGATAACATCACGTTAAATATGTATGTATCTGTGTTCTTTGCAATAATTTTTTCCTTCTGAACAAGTTGACGCACTTGTAATCTTTTCATATTAGGAATTTGTAAAGTAAAAAAATTTTTATTCACGTATCCTGTGCTTCAACAGTTGGTTACAATAATCAAATTGGCAACTAAACAAACGACGAATGAACAAGTGAATTATTCTACAAACAAATACTCCTCCTTTAGCGTAGCATCAATTTCTAATGAACATATCGCAATTTCGATTTGATCGACTCCATCTATTAGTTTTGACGTCCAATCCAATCCTTTTCTTTTTTTTACATTTAAAAGGCAGAGCTACTATGAAAACAATCAATATCGCGAAGCACTTATAAAAATCCAATTCAATTATCCAGATCAATATATTTTGCTGTATATATATATAGAGCGCGCGCTCCCGCATGCGAGGAGGCAACGTGTTTACTTAGTCTTTGCTCCCGACACTTTAATTAAATCCTATCAAGTTGGTCATGAAAGGTTTGTTAACGAAATTAAAATTTCAGCCTCTATTATCCCCAAATTGTTGAATCTTTAATGGAATCCCCCCCCCTCAACCCTCCATCTCTTTTTTCCCTCTTGCTCTCTTTCTCTTTGCGCGGCGGAGCTCTCTATTCGTTGATTAAATCTCTAAAATTGCAATGATAATTAAATCCTCGATTAACGTCGCGTGTTATGTATGAAACACCGTACCTACATCGCAAGGGAGACCGAGTTTCGTCCGATGAATTAAATACACGGTATAAAAGGCGCGATAATGAAAGTACCGTTTTTTCAACGCTGTGTGTTTTATTCACAGACTATTATCCTTCCATGATCGAGTCCACGAGTAATGAAAATAATCAGCCAAATGCCATCACCGATACATACCGATATGCATCGATAATAATAATTGCAAACGCCCATAAAGACAGGATGAGAGCGTTTACGCGCTCGGATTAAAAAATAAAAAAACGACCGATAAATCGTTCCGCGATCATTGGTAAAAAGGCCCGCGCCCACCCGATGAAGCGTGTAGTTACTCCTCGAAAGCTTCTTAAAGACGAGAGAGCTCGTTAAGTAAAAAGTCGCTCGTTTCCTCTCTCTGCGCGGGCTCGATTTTGCGAAAAGGCTTAATCATTCTCGTAAGCAGATTTGCCCTGCGATCGTTGTAAAGAGAAGCTGAAAAAAAAAAAAAAAAAAAAAAGGAGGAGGGAAGAAACTCACGATCCTGGCCTCGAAGTCGGTGGGATCGGTGCGGAAGCTCTCGCGACTGCCGAAGAAGTAATCCGCTCTGAGGCTGCACTTGTACACGTTGCGCCACTTCTCGAGCCTCAGGGTCTCGCCCCGTTTGCGTCCGAGGCTCTCGAGACCGCTGAGCTTGTAGTCGCTGCTGTCGTCCCAAGCGCCGTTGTCCGTCGTCCTACTGCTGCTTCCGTTAATCTGATGATCGTAAGGACCATTTATGTACAAGCATTTCTTGTTTGGCCGTGAAAATTCGATGAGTCAAGGTTGCATGAAGCTTTGATTTCGTTTATGATTTTTGGGTGATGGTGGTGGCTCTTGGGGTGATTGGTGCGAGGATTTTTTTTTCTTCGTTTATATACTGTACCTTGCAATTCGACGAACAGTGGGCACCTTTGGCTCGTTGCGGTGGATCTCTCTGAAATGACGCGAAAATCGTTTTCAAACGCAACTGTTTCATTGATTTTCAACTTTTTTTTTTTGTTAAACATTTCATTCATATCCATTACTGTATGGTACTGATGAAAAAATGTTTCCGTGGCAAGGACTTTCAGAAACAAAAGAAAAACCTTTGTCGCAAGAGGCTCGAAAAAGTAATCAAACCCCATAAGTACACAACTGTTGCGATCGATCCCCTTATAGGTCGAACGAACGAGAAACATAATTATGTAATACACTCACCGGAGTCGCTGGCGTCGAGGACAAGTTCTTGGTGACGGTGTAAATGGTGTCGCACTTGCCGATCATCGATTTCTCCATGTTCCGAAAGTGGGTGTCCTTCCTCTTGGCGATGTTGGTGCCGACGTTGAGCTGGTTAACGACGGCGCGTATGATGTTGAGATCGGCCGGGCTGACGGTGCGGTTGGCCAGGATCTTGCCGATTCCGTCCGGGGTGAAGGTGATCTCGAAGGCTTCCTCGGCAATCTGGTACTCGGCGTGGTTTTGCGCGGTGTCGGGTATCTCGTCACCGGGGAGGGTCGGGTCCACCGTTGTCGAGGCGAAGCTCACCGCTTTGGCGTCCGTCATGCGACACAGGAGGGACGACGAGGCTCGAAAGCGGCACCTCAGCATGGCATTCATGTTGAAGCGGGTCGACCGGTCCGGCACGTAGTTCAAGGCCGCGGAGATGGCCGTAGAGTTGACGCAGAATCGGTAACTCGTCTCGGTTCCAGCCCGGCTCGGCCAGCTCGAGTCGCGGAGCTGAGCCGCTACACACACGGGGCGCATGCACAATTAGCTCTGGGTTACTCTGAATGTACGCCGAACGTCTGTCTCGATGCGTCGGGGCTATACTGGGAGCTTTGGGAGGCCTATACTTGTCTGCGTATACATACAGCTGGCTTGCGTCAACGGTAACAGTTAATTGTACCCCTGTGTGCTTATCTGGGATTTTTGCGAAGGATTAGAGCCTAGTTTTTGCGCGAAAGAGAACAAATGAGGCTTATAGTCGCTTCCAAGGGACAAGGGAGGATTGTTTTACTTTTCACTTTATTGGTGCATTTTACACGTTAAGAGAAGAAAAAAATAGACAGTTTATTATTCTTTACCGCCATCATTGTCAGTATTAAGGATAACGCGACGCTGTGCCATAATTGGGTATACTTGACTTGTCGATCGGGTCTATAATAATTTAGGTGGTAGTACATCAAACACCGAAAAACTCTTCTTAATACACATCTTCTTTTCCGTGAAAAAAAAAAAAAAAAAAAAAAAAAAAATTGACTCTGATGTACAATTCCACCCGAAAATTATTCTTCGGTCATCGTTCCACCCTAATACCAATAGATATACATTGTCTCGTCTCCTATTCTACCTGTATATATACTCAGTAGGGTATAACGTGTAGTTACGGTGTACGCAAATCGTCCCTTCCGAAACCCTCGCAGACGAGAAGAGAAAGAGCCCGCGGGGGTGTACACGGGGCGATTAGCGCGTTCGAATTAGCCGAGGGTTGTACGTGAGCAGAAAGGGTTGGCTCCCGCTTTGTACCCCATGGCAGTCCCTCTTTTCTTCGAATGCGGGATTAGGAGGGACGGATCATGTGTATGTGCGGCTCTGGCGCTTCACGAGAGATGAGTAAAACCGAAAGGGCTTTCTTACGCGCGCCCGAGGAAGTAACCCATCCCTTCTTCGACTTTGTGCCTCTCTGGCTGTAGCTATACTGTGTGTGGGTCGTCCTTGGTCGAGATACGGGCTCGAATTTAACTAGTTCCCCCGGAGCTCCCGGGAGATGGCTGGCCAATCGAGTTTCGCGCTAATGAGCTTTTTACGTGCCTCCCCCTTTCTCTGACTGGTGGTGGTGGTGGTGGTGATGCTGGTAGGTAACACTTTGATTTTTGTTTGTAGTAGCTGGCTAATTGGAAAGTATAGCGGGACGCGGGGGAAGGACGGGGTGTTTATTTTCTTGGACGCGTTGCTCGAGCACTTGCGCCGGGCGATTTACTATATAAATATGGTTCAGTGTTGTATTTATCGAGCGAAACTCAATGCACTTTGAGCGAGTGTATGTACGCGTTTGTGCACAAATTACGCGGAGAAGGGCCAATTTGTTGAACAATTTACTTTTGGTCGTCGTTGAACGCACACGCATCCCCCTAATGCCGTGCGACGCGCATAAATTAATTGTCCAGCGCGATTTAATGAATTTCAGAATAATTTGCACTGTGCATTGTAACGCAGCCAATTGTCCGGCGAGCTAACGTGTACGTGTACAAACAGACGACGTTAATCAAGCAATTTGATGCTTTTTCCTTCGATTTTGCCCATTGCGTTTGAATAAAAAAGAAAAAAAAAAAAAAATGAAACGTGTATTATACTTGCAACGAGGTCACGATGAACTTGTATCAAAGCGCACTTCACTCTCAAGTAAAACGTAAGTATACACAGCGACACAGTAAACCGCACAACACCACTGCTCGGCCATAAGCAACGAAATATAAAGTAAGAAGAAGAAATGATAACAATACCGACCCAGGAAAAACGGCACGAGAATGACGATCATGGGTGAGCAGTGTACCGGCCCTGTGCGACTGCTGCAGCTCACACCCGCATCTCATATCCCATCCAGCATAACCGGCTATCTGACGCGCGATGCGCCCGTGTGCCACTATTTAAGTATCCATCCTCCGTGATGCGTACCGTCCCCAAACGCGATTGCACTAATATTTTTACAACACGAGCGCTTGTGGTGGAACGTAGGTATACATGGGATAGATCGCGCGTTGTCATCGTTTTAAATATACGTCACGCGCGATCTCCCTTTACAATAAAGCCGCTCTAGTGAGCTTATATATCAGGCGCGCACGCGTACATAGGCACACTAGTATCTAGGTGACCGTTGGTCCCCTTCTGCACGGGGATTTTCGCAAGGTCACGTATTCACGCGCTATATATAATTACAAGCGATGTAACTCGAAGCGCCGCGTGTCTACTCGGTTTCCGCGGGCTAAGGATGCGCAACGAGCGCAAAAGATGATGATTGTTGCTGTTTAAATCCGATCCTTGAGATATCGCCTTATCGGCTTGCTCGACGACGTCTAATACTTTTGTTTGTCTCGGCAGGCATGATGGCAGTGTTTGACAAGCCGATTAAGCCATTTTTGGGCAAAAGTATTTTTTAATGGAAAAAACAATTGAGCTGAAGTTTTGAATGAAAAAAAAAAGTGTCTCCATGATTGGATGTTGAAGTGGCGATGGAAATAAGCCACGGCCTCGGTGAAATTAATGGAGCAGAGGTCAATGACTTTGAAATCAGCTTTTTTTCCAACTTAACAATCGTTTCGGATAGGTATGCTTATCTTGTAAAATATATAAAGTGGAAGTTGAAAGTGCTTTTTGTCTAAGTACGTACACAATACTGAGAATGAATTTTTTCGTAGAGTAAGTAAAATTTCTTCACATTAGTTTTATTAATAATAAAAAAGTTTCAGTAAAACATCTATCATATCAATTATTGACATTATTTAATTATTAAACGTTTAGAGAACACAATATTTTTCCAAAAGTTGCGACAAAAAAAAACGACTTAATAATACAGCCTATCGAAATAAAAAACTTGACATAAAAAATAAAGTGTAAGTACGCATTGAACTCGTGAATGAGCTCAAGTGCGAATAAGTAGGCACGTATAGGGGATATCGACACTATAGTTATACGATTCGTATGCACATGTATTGTATTGAAAGTCACAATGCTATACTAAACGAGATTAATGTTTATATGATTATTTATTTCGTGTACTTAATCGTTAGTAGCATACGAATGCAAACCAATAAAGTTACGAATTATTGTAGGTCACACTCGTCTTTTGCGAAATAATAAATCACACACATCTTCGAACCTGTCTCTGGATTAAGGGATCGAATTTATCGCTGTACGTATTCTCGCGTTGTTTACAATTTATATACATTTCACGAACAATGAAAAACTTTTCGTTATTTTTTGCCCGTTGCGTACGAAAAAAAAAAAAAACAAAAAAAAAGAATTAGGAGCATCGAATCGTAGAGATACTTTGATTTATCGAAGCTCTGGTTCATCCCTCTATTTATACCTCGAAAATCGTTCATTCCATTCGCGAACGTTCACAGATGTCGAAATAAAGCTCCCGTCAATCCCGAGCGAAAATTCAAATTGACCGCATCCTCGAAAGTTGCGAAAAGGAAAAAAAAAAAAAAATGTATTCCCCCAAGTATACTTAACCCGCACTTCAAGAGAGAGATATGGGCATCACTCCAAGGCTCCCCGCGAAAGCAATTTCGATCGAAGGCCACTTGACCTTCGCGTCGAATTTATCTGCACGCGAGCGCCCAATTCCACTCGCTCACCCTATTTATGACCGCCGCACGCATCGGCCGGAGATAAAAATCTGCAAACCGCGGAAGATTGAATTCCTCCCGCTCCACGAGTCCCTCAAGTGTCATCAACTACTTTAACGCGACGACACGGTGGCGCGAGTAATTTCACACTTTTCTCTCTCTCTCCTTTGCTTCCTTTTACACTTGTTTGTCCCCTCCTCTTTTTTTTTTATTTTTCTTTTTTACGCTTCGCTCCCGCGGAGAAGCGCAGCCGGCTGTAAACTGCGTCGTTAACGGGTTCGTTAAGTCGAATTCCCGAAAAGGATTCCACCTCCGTCTCTTCTTTCCCCGCCGCGAAGTCTTTTATTATTATTATTATTATTGCGTTTTCCACCCCGAGCAGCTCCTTCGTCTTCTTGACACTGGGGCAAAAGCAATTTCCCTTGTACCTTTTTGCGCTTTTGTGCAAGAAAACATCTATATATATATACACAGATGAAGGGGTCCAGGTGAAGTCGAGGATACAGAAGTGGATCCTCTCGAGGAGTAAAGGCTTTGAATGGGTGCCGCGAAAAACGAGAACCGCGCGAGTCTAGCTGTATCTCCCCGTGTGCGAAGAGATTCTTTCTCTTCCCTTTCGTGTCTGTGCACGGATGTCGAGGAGCGCGCGGGAATGAGTCGTGCAAAAAAAGCGGACGGCACTCGCAAACGCTGCGCTGGATTTATATGAGCGATGGATCTTCGTTTTTTTTTTACTAGCTATACCTTTCTTTTTTTTTTTTTTTTTTAGTTTTTTGCTCGCGTATAGAATCTGACCAATATGCCATCTTTTTTTTTTTTTTTTTTTTCTAGAGGGAGGGAAAAAAAACAACCAGGGTGGCCTTGTTGCGGGGTGGGTTAACATCAGCGTTCGCGTGCTGGTCTGCGCGAAAAACGAAATTTCATTCGACCTGGGCGAGGGTGATGTGATTGATGACGTGATTAGGCCCTTTTTTGCGAGGGGCAGAGGGGGACGTACGTCGGAGTTTTCATATAACGTATAGGTATTTAAGTAGAGATATGTTCTTGGGGATTCTCGGTGTGTGAGCTTCGGTTGATATACGTAGTTTTCCAGAGCGACCCGAAGCAAGAAGTGAGATTGGAATCAGAGTGCAGTACAACTTATCCAATGAAAACGTGTATCGAAAGAAATTATTGAATTTTGGGTGGTTTTTTAAATTTTATTTCAAAAAAACGAATAATCAAAGTAGAGTGAGAATGTGAGCTTACGCGCAATCAGTAGAAAATAATTAAATTGGTTTCAATCGTCGTTATTCAATTTTATGCTTTAGATAACTTTGATGTAACTCCTTTCATGCTCGCTGAGAGTAGTCTATGCATGATACTGAACAGAAAATTTAGCTTTGTGAGATTCAGAGCATCTTACCGAAGAGCAGTTAACAAATTAAAAGTTTTTACTAAGTCGGAGACACTGCGTTCTTTGAGACTTTGTTTGATCAATGATATTGAATAATTATGTATTGAATGAAAAAGAAAAGAAAGTATTTCGCAGCGTTTTGGACAAACAGAGAGATAACATTTTGCATCACTTCCGTGGGTTTTGAAGTTTAGACTATTATTTCAGCTGAAAATTGAGTCAAGTCTTGAACCATCAGATAATGTTTTAAATCGTTATGATAGCTGTTTTACGAGGCTCCGAGACTTACAGCTTACCCTACGGTAATCGAAAGGTCAGACAGAAATTTTTTAACATGATAACGTACAGATGTACCTAAAATGTCAAATAATATTGTATCCTATAGGAATTATGCGACTGATGGACGCGAATCATGGTTATTTCTCTCTCGTGTACTTGCAAATTTGCTTGCCAGACTATCATTTGAATATCCACTCTTATACGGCAACACTGTGCCCTCAGAAATGGCCTTGCCGTGTTACGAGCAAAGTGAAAGTGGTCGCAAAACGAGATTTATTCTCTCGCTCTCTTATACAATAATGCATACAAAAAGACAAAAGAGAGTTGATGGTTAGCGACGCAGAAAACTACACTGCCGACGAGTTAAACTGCATTTAAAATATACCTTACCTGTGGCTGGTACTATAAATCGATGCACCTTTTACCATTCCAATATTATTAACTCTCTGCACCGCATTTGCAGATTGACGGTAAATTTAATGCGGTTCGTAGCTCAACTAAGTACTTATATAGCGCTGTACACATGCTGTTATTTGCGCTTCGTTTGTCATAGAAATTACTTGGAAGTACATTAATTTTTATGGTGTTACAACAATATTAAAAGTCGTTACTACTTACACCCCCAAAAACTATATTTACTAATGAATTTTCAAGAAAAGTACTTTTTTTTTTTTTTTTTTTTTTTTAGTGATGTTTACAAGGTACAAAGTAATAATGGTAATAATAATGATTTTAGTAAAATAAAACGACAATGTTTTCACCAACAAATTGCTTTTCAATCATAATGACGCAACTCAAGACGCTGTATAATTTTACGGTACGCACGTGACGTGTCTTACCCATCGTGCTGCGTGCAACATTGCGTTCCCAATATCACGCGCTTTGATAGCCCTGTCACCGGAATCGTTAATTAACTTTACCGAATCGGTAAGCTTTACTCACCTAAAATTATTGCTTAACACCCATAATTAGTAATTTTCATCAAGTTAGCAAAAGGAAAGAAAATTTGATCAATCAGTAGTAAAAGCCAGGTATGTTCAGACACGGGGAGAAAAAATGCCAACGTGTTGTAATCGGACTCGACGTAATAAAACGTGCCCACAGCATAATCTTCGATGAAAAGTGCATCTTCTTCTCCTCCTCCTCCGTGCACTCGAGTATTTTAATAAGCGTAACCACTCGAGAGTCTAGAATTCGACACAATACGAACGCCCATGCTCGCTTCGAGGTGTACCTGCATGTAATTCGTTATTTAACCTGGAGCTACCAATTTTCCACGCGGGCACACAAAAATTCGTCTAGGGACGCGTGTAATGCGCAAAAGTGTAGTCACGACCGCGCGTTATTGTCGATGTCGAAAATTATTGAGCTATTGTTGTCTTGGGATTTTTTACTCCCCTCTCCAGTCGCTTGATACTGCGCACTTTCAAAAATACTTTCAAAGCCGATGCAAGTCGTGCAAAGATGTCTTTTGGAGTAAAAGTAAAATACAAATATATCTATTTACACCCAAACAATATGCTTTCACGAATATTTAGGTTTTTAACGCAGCTCGCGGATGAAACAATACGCGCTGATAAAAGATAAATGAAAATTTCGGGACAGGATTCAACGAAGCGATGAAAATAACAGTTTTGCGAAGAAAAATTGATATTTTTATTTTCACGAGTGACATTATTGCCATTTGAATATCTGGCTTGACAATGGTAATTTAGTCGAATGCATTTCCTTGTAAGACAGTAACTGGCTCCATCATCATTATATAAATTACGTGCACCAAAAAAAAAATCCCCAACGAAATAAAAATAGCGCGGTTCAGTGATATATTTCAGCATGATATAGTGCACGGCGAGTCTCATTTCGTGGGTGAATTCTTCGAGTGTATGGAATAATCACTAAAATCTCCTGGAGGGTGGTCGCCTCTGAAGGAGGTTCTGCTGCGTCGGCCGGGCAGTAGTGGCCGCGAGTGGCCGGTCGTAATTATCCTCGTCCCTGTACTGGCCCTCCTCGTCGGGCCTGGGGGGATTGGCAGCTATCCACTCGAGGGCTCTCCGAATGAGGGGTGGGATCTCCGGGGCCGGGGGCGAGGTGGGCAGGTGGTCGCCCTGGAAGGTGGCTCCATTCTCGTCGGCCACCCACGTGATACTCACTCGCTGGCCCGCGTTGTCCGTCCAACTGGCTGAGCCCTGCACCTGTTCCGCGACCCCCTGATTGTCCACGCTTTTTGGCTGGCCCTGCTCTTCGAAGGCTATGCCGTTCGAGGTCTCGAATTTGGTGTAGTAAGAGCCGTCTGGGCTGTAATGCAATTATATTAAGTAAAATGGATGAGGCTGGTGAAATCTTTTTTGTATCTTGTGAGTTCTGAACTTAAATCTTTTAAGAAAATATATTCAATGTCCTGAAAATGTTTTTACTTTAATCAAACGATACATACAAACGTAAATAAATCTTGCTTATACATATATTTTTAATTTTATTTTGTTCCTACTGATATACTTAATAGGTTCTACAAATACAGTGTCTTCACCCTTGTAACGGTTAAGTGATTTCTAAAATAAATTTTGATTACAAAAATGTACGTAAGGATGGTTATCTCCATGCATTTAGCCATCTGTTTGTATTTAATTTTCAGACACTCAGTTGAGATTAAATAAAAACCAGATATCTTTATCAGAAATTTTATTGTTTTTATTCCTCAAAATTCTTGCTAACTAAATAAAATGCAAAATTTACTGAAAAAAATGGTTTTACCTTATATCGGAGATCTGGCTTATAACTTCGCTGTTCGCGTCACTGCTCGAGCCAAGGGGTGCACTAGGCGCACGCTGGGGTTGTTGCTGGGGGTTCAAGGGACGACGCTGGGCGGTAGAAACGTTCATAAAGCAGATGACGAGCAGGCAGTGGAGCAGCATTTTCCCTGAGCTGACGTGAAAAAGAAAAACAAACAAATAAACAAACAAAAATCTTAACAAAATTTAACTTTTATTTTGGACACCCTATACTATACAAGGAACTTTTATATTTGACATTGATCCACCGGCAAAACTTCCCACGGATTCTCCTCGTCTTCCAACAGCATATACGTAAAAGCTGCCCTATTTACTGTGACTTTTTACTTTATCATCGTGGAAAAAAAAGGGATCGAAATAAAAAAATTCCATAAGCTACGACTCCAGCTCCAGTAGCCGCATTTAGAGCACAACCGAGTAACGTATACGGTACGTAAGGCCCCGAGATGAAGCAACAACCCCAGCAATCTAGCGAGTCGGTTTTTCACCCTCAAAAAAACCCTCCTCGCTTACCTATGGACAGCACCAAGCTCTGATATATAAATATTATACGACGTCCGCGGAACGACACACGTGGCACCTCGACTTTTCAGCTTTTATATACAGGGAGAGCTTCTCTCGGTCGCTTTCCAGCATCGTCGGCGCCTCTTCTCGTTGCGTCAACTGCACATGAAACGCCCAGCAGGCGCTGCGCACACATACGCGCGCGCACACATGCCTGTAGCGTCAAAATCACCTCTTGTGAGCGTTGAAGTGAAAAAAAACAAAAAAAAAACGTAAAATCTAGCTGGCGTTGAAGTTGTGCCATAAATAAGGATAGAGAGGCCAAGACTGGTGTCCGATGTATGTATATATGTATTACTCTACGTGCTAGCCCCTTGGGCAACCGAGTGAACTTTTGCTCATGGCGCTCGACTTGACGATTGAAATTATGACGCTTCCAGCCCCGACACTTTTCACGTCTACATATTATGCAAGTGGATTTTCAAAGCTTTTTGAGTCGGTTGACCAACAATTTTTAACGCTAATACTCAAGGAGCTCAATAGTAAATGGTATTACGTTTTGACGACATGATCATAAAGTAGGATTAGATTTTGAATCTCGGAGATACAACCGTGTCCTTTTTTTATCAGCTCACGCGTTTGACCCATAAATTGAAAAAAAAAAAAAAAAAAAAAATCCAAAAGTCAACAGCGCAAGCACTGACACTTAAAAAGCTATTTGTCAAACCTGAGTCAATAGCGGTCGTTCAAGAACGAATTATCAAAGAGAAAAAAAGAAAGTAGCACTTCTCAGCCGAGCGGTGCATTACGTTACTGATAATTTGTATGCTTATACGACGGCTCGTAATTTCTCCAAGAGCTAGGACTGCGCGTAAGTATTCATATAGCTCGAGGGGTTGATACACGCGTATGGGTACAGATCTCAAGGAGCGGTCTTATTAAAACGCAAGTACTCGTACAATTTATGGAAGGTGTCGGCGGAGCATCCAATTAGATTAGGCGTAGACACTCTTCAGAGGAGTAAATGCGTGTTTGTTGCGTCGTGCGCGAGGTCAGCAGGTAAGTTCTGTTAAACGCATACTTAGCACAGGGGGTTCTGATTTAATTATGACGACTGCAATGGTCGCTTATGATTTTTAGGTGATGGCTACGATTTTATTGGGGGGGGGGGGAAACAGTTTTTTTTTTGTTCATCATTTGCTAAATACAGAGTTTACGCAACAATCGTTAATAATTTCAGTAACGCATCTCGCATTGGCGAGTTGAATAAAATTAATTAAAATTGCTTAGGTCAAATAAGCCCACAGCAATGTAACTCTGATAGACATACCGCATAGTTAAATTTGAGGTTGATTTTACATTACAGTTTCCTATAATGATCACTGGAATTAATTTATTCCGCTTTTTGATATTACAATTGTTTCATCCTTTGTCGGATTACATGTGCTTTTACTGAATTTCATTTAAAAAATGTTTTACGAAGCAAAATGGCTTACGAACTCATTAATTTTAAATCAGAGCTGTCAATAGGTAGTCAAACTCATGAATGTTTAAAAGCAGTTGAATACTGATGTATTGGAAAAAATTTTGTTAGATATTGCACAGTTTTATTTTTAGTAAATAAATTTAATAAATAGTGAAGGTATTTGCGAAAGGTGACCACTAATGGTTTTAGTACTAAAACCAAGTAATTTTGTTTTTTTTATACAAATATTTTTGAATATTTATATTTCATTAGATTAGTTTACATTATCCATCAATTATATTTGTTGGAGCTCAATCCATTCGAAATATATAATCTTTCAATTGATTTGTACTTGATCAAAGATTTTAAAACAAAACAAATGTACTGACGGATTTATTTCCAATATTTTACTCCAATAAAACTTTAATGCATTCCACGAAATCCAATTTCACACGCAGTCGTAATTGATCAAATTAATTGTAATGATTCATCAAAAATATTTGCACTTGATGAAATAAGATAGTTAAATTCAATTGGTAACATGAAAAAAAAAAATAAATAATAATAATAATAAGAGACCTAAATTTTCGAATCAAAATTGAAGTAAGATATTTATTTATAAAGAATAATATTTGAAATTCCTGAAAAATACTGTCAGCCTCCGAGAGTATCCAATCACGATCAAGACGATCCCATCTCCCATCTTGACCTTCTCCTCTGCAACGAGCCGAGCAATCAATCCTCTCCTCTATTCGCGCATATGTATACCCACCAGCAGTTGCTTCGCGCAACAATGACAACAACAATCATCTTCATCGGGGTAGTAGCGGTGCAACCAAGTAACGAAACCAAGTGAATTACAGTAACTCAGCGGACGCGTGTCGTCGCACACACTTACGCTCCACTGACAGGTCAATCAGCGCCGGGAGAATGGTTTTGTTATTTTCGCTCGCACATGCCCCCAGCCAATATGGCTAAAAGCGAATTAACGGCCGGTTCTGTATGTGCGCTGCCGGCTTTAATCGGATTCGCGAGCGTTTGATTATTGAAACGACAGCGCGCTATGGCACCTATCCGCTGCGGGAGGGTATTATTTTATTAGGCGTTTCGGTCCTGCCGCTGTTGATTGCGCTCGCATTGTGGAGCGCGTATATACGTGCACCGTTTGATTTCGAAGCTCTTGTCAAGTATACCATTCCTCTTTGCCGGGAGTTTTTTGCATTTTCTCTTTGAACTCGATCATACCTGATGCGTTTTCCAAACTTTCACTTTTTATTGAATTTTTTTTTTTCACCAACGTAATTGTAGGCAAAAAAAGAGACATTTATGTAATCTCCGAGCAAGGGGTCATTGCGTCAAAGTTGTTTAATTATCTAACAACTGGGCAGCGAGAACATTTTCAAGCGTGGCCATTTATTTATTTACTTTTTTTTTTTTTTTTTTTTTCAAACCGTGTACAGCAAAAGTCCATTTTGCAGAAATTTACCGTGGATTTGACTCTCCCGGTGTGTACACCCAACGCGCATTAAAGGCTTAATTTACGAGTACACCCGTACTTTGCTCGATATTCGATAAATCATGAAGCAGTCGAAGTTCTATTTTTTGCGCAATACTGAGCTTTTTAAAAACAAAAGCTCAAATTTACTCATTACATAAAGCTTGCAGCAATCAAACGTCTCTCCATCGCTATGAGCGAAAATATCAGATAACGAGTCCCCCACCCCCTCTCTGACATACTAGTACAGAGCTGATTCGCTTTGTATAAATACAGACAGGCATGTATGAATTGTTGCAGCTTGGACGTTTGATGAATCGCCCGATACGGAAAAGTTATTAAATCGGTAATGCACGTTCGATGGTTGGTGCATTAAGTGCAACATTACCGGTCAGATCGGGACTTGGTAATTAAATATCGGATGCTGAGGTCAACCGGGGCGATCTCTCTTTCTCTCCCGAGGCTTGGTGATTGCGTCTTCTTTTGTCTTTTTTTTTTTTTTCCTTCGTAGCCTTGTATGTCTACGGTTTATCGATGGGTTCGTGTAGATGTACACTGTACGCGGCTTTGAATGTATCGGTGGCTTTCTCGGCTGAGCTGTGCGCCGAAGCGTGATTTGCCGTAGGGTGTTATCTTTTGATTACTCGCTTTATGTAACGTTGAAGTTTGCTTCAAATGAAAAGGTGTCTGTTTACGGGTGTATGAAACCGATTTTTGAGAAAGGCTGCACTTTCCTTTTGGTACTTGATTTTATTGTATCGATCGTGTCGACCCATTTGATCTAGGAGTAATAGCATTTCAGTTAATTTTTTTTTGTTTTGCTAACAGAAATAACATGGTAAGCTCGTGTAATTGAGTCGACAGAGTACAGCTTACTTGACTTAAATATTATTTTATGCTATTATCTAAGATGTTTGGATTATTATGATGATTATTTGATTATTATTTTTGTAAAAATCCACTGGTTTACTTGATCTTTTTTTAGAAGGTGCATTTTCTTTTTTCACCTAACATGTTGAAAATAAATAAATCAGTGGTATTAAATGTTTTATGCTTTGAGAAATCAACGTTGATAAATGCAAATGAAAAAGTACTATTGAATAATAAAAGTATCTTAAAACATTGTAATAGTGAGAAAAAATAAATTTTTTATTAAATTTTCGTTTTTATTAACTAAATAATCGTACGACTTGGAAGGTGATTTGTTGATAAGTGATAAATTGTAATGCTTTAGGCGGAACTTTTTATTTACACATATAAAAAAAAATCACAAGGATAATAGGGTGTATACATTCGTACATTACTGTTTGAATGCGTTATTACAACGTGTATACAGTAAGAAAGAAAGTAAATAGTATATAACGACATGATATATTTGTATATAATGAAGTATTCTCCATGTCGTAAATATGTAAACGGCTAATTGCAGTTGTTTTTTTTTTTTTATAAAAAATTTTTTCTTCTCAATAAACTCATATTCATCCATTTTTGAGGATGAACAATCGTACATTGACTTGAAATAGCTGGGATATCCAAAATAAGAAGACAATAAAGCGACACAAAGAAGAAGAAGAAGAAGCATGGCGACAATCGATTCGCGCGCGTCACACGATCGGTGAGTATTCTTTAAAGGACCATGCACATATGCTTTTTATATTTGTATCGTGTAGGCTTGTATATGGTTATCAAAGTGCATTTTTCCATACGTAGATGCTTTTCTTGCATAAAGATATATAGGTATGTATAAAAAGGTATGATGCAAGCGATAGTTACGTGCCACTTGTGACGACTCGATTTGTTTTTTTGTTTTTTGTTTTTAACTTAATATTAATTGTACATTGTGCGTCGTGATGCGTGCGTACATTACATTTTATCTTTTTTTTTTTGTTTTTTTTTTGTTTTTATAGCTTTTTTTTGTAATTGCTCTGCAAAGATGACGTACGCACGCGTGGATACGGGTAATAATGCATGTGTCGATACAATTGATGTGGGGTGGATAACAGATCGTTAATACACTTGTATGAAAAAAAATGGGAGGTAGTTTATAGGGATTGATAGGAATTCTTGAGCGTTGCACTGCTGTATTTTCATTCGTCGCTTCCGGATGGAATAGCAAAGCTGATGCATCTTCACCGTCGTATCGGATGTCCCGATCTGTCCCTTCTCTACGACAGACCCTTGGCTCGGCACTGTGGACGATTAACCTGCATGGGCAAACAGATAATCGTTTTACAATTCAGTTAATTGCTTCAATAGAGAAAAAAATGTTCATCAAAGAAGTGAGCGAGAGGTGAAAATTAATTGGTAGAGTCAAGAGATTAATCGTACGTGGATGTACAATAAATAATTATTACAACTTGAGTACAGTACACCAGTCGAGTCACAAAATACATTATCTAGATGTATTGAGGTGTAATTTATGGGTGTGTAAGTCGTGTCCAAGTTCTGAGTTTGCAATAACGTCGAAATCTATGCTCACCATTTAATACGTACATATCTCTCAATTCCTTCAACTAACCTCGTGGAGCAGGCCTGCCGGGTGGGCCGGAGTCAATCGAGTCTTCCTCTGTACAATCAGACATTTTTTACTTGTTGATGATTTCATCTGTCGTTGTATAGTATAGACTGATAGGTAATGAGATTGTTAAGCTTTGACGTACCTGGATGTGCAGCGTTGTATTCCAGGGCCTTGAGAATTTCTGGGGGAACTGCGGACAAATGATTACACGTTAATGACATAATTTTGTAAGATATCCGAAAAAGTAAGTCAACCCGAATCAATTCATGTTTTTTTGCACAAGCTGCCCCTCTTACGGATACAAAATTTATGTTCCGCAAGTGATCATTGTCCTTATTTCGCATCTAAATTTCTAGTTTTCTCCCGTGAGATGTAATTTTTTTTTATTCTAGACAAACTTATTCATGGAAGACTGTTGGCATGTAAAATGAAATCTAGGCAAAGCTATAGTGGTATTTTTTTTAGTAATAACTAAACTTGAAAGAAGTTGTCATACCGGTGCACAACGAAATGTATAATAACTGTAATTTTAGCGTTGATCTCGAGGTTTGTCAAATTTATCACCAAATAATACTCTCTCGTGCCAACAGTTTTCCTACCGTTAATTTTTCTACGATGTAATGTATTACCCATTGGGCTAAGAAAATATCGTGAAACCAAGATAAGGACAGAGACCGCCCAAGCAAGTAAACTGATAAAAATTCTTCGACTGCATGCGTGTGCATTTTTGTAGTAGTTTCAATGTAATCCTCTTGGCTATTAAATGAAAGAATCAAGTGATTCTTATGTATACGTATGGATTATATTAAAACTACTGGGTGATGTAAAATTGGTTATCTGATTGTAATCGGCTCATTCGCACTTGGTGGAGCCGTTGGGATGTGGGATCCTTGGGCAACGTAGCCATTTTCGTCAGCTACGAACTGGATGCTGACGACCTCCCCGTTTGGCGCTGTGTACGACGTGGCGCCCTGCGATGACACGGACGGACCTTCCTGGCCTGCCGCTTTGGGAGCACCTGACTCTTGGTGACTGATGCCGTTGCTCGTCTCGAAGCTGCGTAAGTGAACCAAAAAAGCTTTAGTTATTTTGCCCCGTACACTTATATTATAGAACAGTGTTTTGATCGTGTAGGATGTGAGTGTCCAATAAAGTATCACGTGTATTTTTGGCGATTATTTTTCCTTTCGTTCGATCAAACAAAAAAGTTAAACTATAATTCGATTCGGAACTAACATTACCAGGTCAATGGATTTCAAAAACATTGATCAACGTAGCAACTGAGCAAAACTTATCATACGGCCCCGTGAATGATGCAAAGTATACCGAATAAAACTTTAAAGTTAATGGACTGCAAACCCCATTAGGTGAAATACTCGGGAAAACTAGACGCGTTTCCAAGTTGGCTGGTCATCCGCTGTCCGAGTAAGCCCCGGTACTCCGGCAAGAAGATAATCCGTCCGTCACACCTCGAGCTCGAAACCACACCTAGTCTCTCGTCGCCTCGTGCATAAAGTCTTTGCTCCCGGCCTCCCCGCACACGCGGACACACCCTTACACCCGGTGGAAGGCTATCTTCAAGAAACTCTCCACTCGCCCGTCCAAACAATTCCGGGGAGGGCCGGCAAACCCAATTGCCAAATTCCCCGGAACTACGCGGGTGAGCGAGTGGGCGAGCCTCTCTCGGACCACTCGAACTAATAACCCAAGAAGCCAGTCCGGCGAATTCCGGGGCTCCCTTTCTCACTCACTCTACCTCGTTTACTACGAAGCACGTGGCTGGTGGAATTTCAATCGAGACCTCGTATAACGTCGATGTCGTCCTATGACTATCAGGTCGTCGTTCTCAATGTGTGTGTTTTGGGTCTGAATGTATTTTTGAGGATTAGGATACTCACTTGTTGACGTAGGTACCTAGTCGGGGCAAATTAGGTTTGAATGTGAAAAACGTTGGACCGATGAGTTTTTTTTTTTTTTTTTTTTTCTGACGAATCATCAGTTCATCATTTGTAGAATAAGATCCTGTACTTGTAATTTTGAGGAAGTGCAGAGTCCTATTGTTCAATAAATTACAAAGAAAAGTTGAATTTTTTACTTTATTTTTTTAATATTCAATTGAAGACTATCGAGAATCAAATGATTGCATAAAAAAAGGAAATGATTGGTGTTTCCAAAATAAATGTTAATTCTAATAAAAAAAAAAAAAAATTTTGTTCAAGAGATTCAAACTTGATACATGCCGAATTCAAGTCGATTTGATACAAAAAAAAAATTAAATTTTCCCGTGACAAATACAACCCCGATTTCTCAAAACGTCCAAAGTAAAAGATCTAGTTCTACGAATGCTGATCCGATACTGGTCGAAAAAGCCCATCGGTCCAACGTTTTCCCGAAACACCCATGTACACGGTCTAATTCGCCCCGACCACCGATGACTCAGTCCCCGAAACAATGCTAACCATCAAAGTTGACTTCCAGCTGCTGTGAGGTGATGACCGCGTCCTTGTCGGCTCCACCGCCGCCCCCGTGACGCTGGGGTGCTGCCAGAGCGGCTGTCGCGCACAACGCGACTGCCAGGAGTAACTGCAAGAGACACATACGGAAGGCTTGAAACAGTTTTGATCACCCGATCTCGGGACGCGCGGTTCGTTTGCTCGATTGTCGTTCCGGGACTTGGGAATATTTTAATCGGGTCCCATGATCTCGTCCAACTCTGTAATTATCTTCCACGAGCGTTTATTGCTGCCGCGAGTGTGTTTTATACTTCAGAGTAAATCAATTATTTTTTTTTATTTTTTTGACGCAACCACATTAGATTCCTTAAAACAACGTTGTATAAAGTAGTATGAGATGTGTTTGGAATCAATTCGACTTTTAGGTGATCCGTAAAAATCATTTCAAATAAAAGCCTACATATAAGGCCTACACGAGTTGGAAATAGTTGGCAATTAATCTCTGCCCTAGCGCGAAAAACAATGGTACGATGCGAACAGCACCGCCTTAGCATTCAAATTATGTATACCTCCAATCGCAAGCGATCAATCTCGTCGAAAGAGAGAGAGAGAGTGAGAGAGTAAGAAAAAAGTTCGAGCAGTCCAACCTCGGCCGCGCTTGTCGCGACACACCCAAATCGGCTGGAAATACGAGCCGAAAGGCACACATTCCCACAGGGCGTGTACTCGCCGCAAAAATTTTCGATCGACCTGCTGGGCGCGTCGTATACATTGCAATCCCAGGGAGGGCCCATCGTCGATTACCAGCCCCTTGGATCCCACCTCTCTCCTCTTCTAACGCTATTTTCTATCCTCTTTTGACGTACATACATACAATGCCATTTTGTGGAAAAACTTGAGATAAATGACACTCCTCGTACGGAACATCACACAAACGGGAAAAAGACGCGCCGTGTGCCCAAAAACAGTGACAATCGCGTGGGACCCGGATTGATTTGCAGCCGTCATTGTTACTTTGTGCAACGCAAAAGCGCGAACAATGCCATATTAGCGCCCATTAGCGACTCACCACGCGATGAGACAATGAAGCGCGAAATGACGATTTAATTATCTTCCCCGCGAGAACGAGTCACTCGTGTTTGACATATCCCATTATTGTTACACTCGCAGTCCCTACAAGACACACAAGCATATATACATATATATGCGGTACCCATATTAGTTTGTTCGACTGTAATAACCACGCGCCGAGGCTGCTCGTACGCAAGGATTAGCATACTGATTGATAATTGCGTACTTATGTGCTCGAGATCACCTTGGCTTGTTACCGCCACCGATTTTTCTTCATCTCACGCGCAGTGTAAATTTCCTAGGTATGCACAACTCGAGCGACGTGTAGCACCCTTTTGATTAATCATTAATCCTCGACAAGAGGCGGAGGGGAGGGGGAAGTTGCAGATTCAAGGGAATTACACACCGGAATATTCCCGACATCATATACGTCATCCTGGAGAGAGCAGTCGCGTCGCATGCTAATGAACCCATTAAGAGAAGGGCTCCCTCCCCGTCGCCTCCCCTCTACACCCCCTTTGAAAATCTGTGCTGTGTGGGTGCGTACATAGAGGCACACCTCATCATCCAAGCTTCGTCGCCGTTCGAGAAAAGTGAGTATGCCAGCACACACTATACACGCCATGGGTTGGGTCGCCTCGGGCGAGTCGTGCACGCCGATTGTACGTATGTAATATATACGTATGACCGTCATCTTCAATTTATACATTATTATTGTGGACGCGCCGAGGCACACACATGGCACACAGAGGCGCGCGTAGAATGCGAAAAAGGGCCGCTCGGGCGGAGATGGTTTATTCTTCGTTGCGACAGGTGTACATATAATATACATACATCCACTTGCGAGAGTGTTATATCGTTGCGAAACAGATACTTAATATACTCAGCCGTCGTGAGTAAAAGTGACGAAGAGTTGGCGCTCTCTTTCATAAGATTGTATACGTACGTGGTGGTGGGGGTGGGTCTATTTGTATTACAATGCACGTGCAGCTTTGACGTGAATTGTACGACTGTGTACAGGGTAAGGGGGTGGATGACCCGGTTAGCACTGACTGCACCACCACTATACTGTCGTATCTCAGTGCTATTCTGGCACTGTAGCCGGGGAATTGAATTATTGGACGCGGCACATATAGTTGGGGCGGTAGGGTGTGCCGGGCGAGCGTTGATGATAGTTGGAGTGCATTGGAGTTTAGTGTCTGTCGAGTTTGAAGGAGGGCGTAGGGGTGGGACGAGCCCCGTATGCTGCTACCACCTCTGCTACCGATGTTGCTGATGATGCTCTCGGATCCTAAACTGGGATGTTTCGCGTGTCCCGCTCAAACCCTCCGCAGTACACACCCTGGAGAGGAAATTATTGTTATTGCGGCGATGACGGGCCATTTGGTGGGTGCGAAGCGACATCCACAACAAACCGTAGGTGACTGTTTTCTCCCCCAAAAATCACGATTTCCAACCCACCCCTGCACCCCACTGGTATTTTTTTCCCCCACGTCCCACTCGTTACGATTTATTAAGGATCACGTTACCATTGCTCTCGCGAGACTTGGAACAAAAAGTCTCCTCCTTCTCCCCCTCTTTGGATCGGTACATACTGTTGGTACACTCGAACCGCACCTCGCGCACGCCACTCGGTCCATTCCCATATAAATTACCCCGGTACAATGCTCCTCGCAAAAGGTAGCACACGATGCACCGAGCGTTTAGACTAAGCATATAACACACGTGTGCACCCTTTATGCAAATTCTTTGGCAAAAGATCCAATGAAGAAGAAGTACAGCTCCTCAAACGTCCGCGCGTGAATTGTGCAACCAACAGTGGGCGTGTGGGTACAGGTATACATATATATGTATACTTAACGAGCAGCAACCGTCGTATTATACCCATGGATGAAAGCGACGGCACTTTGGGTGGGGGGAGAAATAAAGGATCTCCCGCGATACACACGTATATAAATATGAAATTCCTCCGACAATGGAGACGCGCATCCCGAGAGTTACGTATTGGGGGTGCAGTCAGGAAAAAGAGAAAGGCCAGAGGCAGCGTTTGGCATTGCAGTTGGGTGTTCAAGGCCGCGGTGATGATAAAGCACGTACATCATTGTTGTACGATGCCGAAGATCGTGGGCGGTCCACGTCGCGTGGAATTCGCACACGTGATGTATTTGTCATCCGACCATATATACCGGCGCGTTTAGAAATTAGAGGGACGCAGTGATGGTGGGTGATGCAATTTTTCCCGACGAAGTTTATTGTCGCGAGTAGGGCGAACCATAGACATTTCACAACACTCGGTGCCGATTGGAGTTCTATAGTGAGACAAAGCAAAGCCAAAAAATGTAGATTGGGCGCGCGCGAGCTCCACTCATATAGATGCAGCGGCACAGATAGAGACCGCGTTTATTGTTGCGCTCGTCCTGTACATACTGTGCACTGCTCCCTTTCTCGTGTGCTGCATACGTATGGACTCGTGGACGAGAGGAATTTTGCGAGAATCGTCCTTTGTGTGTGTGGGTAAAAAAAAAGAAAGAAAAGAGGGCGAGGAGCCGTAACCTGCTTTTGGAGCGCAGGCAAACAGAGAAGAGGGAGAGAGAGCTTTTAAAAGCGAATTACTATCGCGATCAAAGAAACTCCGTGGTTATGTAACACCAAAGAGCGGGTGAGACGTTTGGTTTTCCAGGTCTGCCTTTTTTCCCTTGGTACCGAGACCCCTGCCCGTACAGGCGAAGCTCGAATTCTGCGAAGCTATTTTCTCCGTGGAAAAATTCGGCTGATTTTTCGAGCTGTCGATTTATGGTGGGACTGATGAGGGGGGGGGGGGAAACATTTTTCCAATTAGAGTCACGTTTTTGTCTCCTTTCGAGGAATTTCGTTTAGCCGAGGTATCCGGTGACACGTTGGTGGTGTAAAAATTCGATGAATAATCGCTCACGTACCAGGGCCAAAAGGTCAAGTAGAACGAGTTTTCAGTGGTCAGACAGTACGGCGTTGCTTCTAATTTCTTTTTAAATAATCCAAGGCTCAAAGTATCGATCCGAATTGGATAGTTTTTTCAATTTAATGAGCCAATTTCATCGACTTCAATCCCAAAAAAGAGCCACGCAGCTATCGCTAGCAGTAGGTGCGCTCGCAGCCAGTAGATACAGCCGAGTTCGGTAAGACATTGTGTAAAAAAGGCATAGGTGCATGTACTGACTCCGCGAATCTTCTTTGCGCAAACCCGATACTCTCGACCTCTCCCTAAAAAATTCTCGTACCCAAAACAATTTCACCCTACCCCCCCCCTCCGGCCTCCATCTAAGGTAACAATAGAAAGATATACCCGTCATAGTGATCGCTCCCAACTAGTACTTTGCCGTGTAACAGTAGGAAAAAAATGCAGGTAGGCGAGGCGATGAGTAATGAAAAGAAAGGAAAGGAAAAAAAAAAGAACAGAGAAACGCTCTTCCCCTTTCAGTGGGAATAACGTAAGGTCCGCGTACGTAAGTGGCGCGTGGCGAGAGAATAACACAGTATCGGTTTCGCAAGCCATCAAGTGGGCACGCGTTCCTCGGAGGCTGATCCATCCGCGACGACTGCAAGGAGGCGTTATTACATTCTTCGCTAACCATATGTACACCGTTTGCGCTCTTGTCTCTCCTCCCCCCCCCCCCGGCGAACGGATCGTGTTTTGCGCGCCACGAGGAGAATACTTTGGAGCGATTTACGGCGGGAATCCGTAAAAAGGCCCGTACGACCAGGAGGGGTTTTTTTCATCAAAGCTGAAACTCGTCTCGGCTCTGTATAAATCTCCCAGGGAGCGCGTCCCTCGATGCTTAATTCATAAGCCTTATTTTATTTAGGAGCAGACTCGGCGAGCTTTCAATCAGCCTGCGCTTGATTTACCGCGCCCGATTTTTCTAAACGAGCCTGCACATACGCTATGCTCCGCATGAAGATTCGCGTGGCTGCCAGGTGGAATTTATTTTTCCCCTCGTCCTTTAGCAGGTTGAACAAAATAAAAGCTTGATTGCTCATCATCGCTTTGCTAATGGACTCTTGGGGATATTTAATTGTTTTATTGGAGGACATGGAAAGCAATAACAACATCACACCAAACTAAAACTTACACGCGAACGGTATGTACAGTTGCAAAAAAAAAAGAAGTCCGACACAGCACTCCTCTTCAGACTCTATATATACAAAACATCACTCCATCGCGCGTCCAAACTAATTAATTCGCACTCCAACAATCACAACTTACCTATACGTATACATATATACATGTAGCGAGAGAGCGATTTTTCCTGCCGATTATCTCTCTCTCTCTCGTTCCCGCTCCCCCGCGGATCGATCGCACTTTTACTTTCCACTCAGTATATCGCTCCGAGGCTGGCGTCCCTCGCGGGAGTTCGGAGGGCACACACACCCGCGAGCCAGTATACATTAGAATCTTTTATCGGAGCTCCGGGAGTTTGGAGCCTTATCCTTTGCGCCCCTCCTTATCTCTCCACCGGAGCGTGTCTATTTCTTCGGCGAGTTTGTCAAACTGCAGAGAGGTTTAGGTGGATCGTCGACTCGATTACCAGGTGATTTGTAACATATAGTTTTGACTTTACCAATAGATCGATCGGCTCGGAGGGAAATCAAAGTATAGACCATCAGGGAGAGGAGGGAAATTTAACGCAATTAAAAGAAGCAGAGAGGGAGAGAGCAAACAAACGAACAGACAGAGACGCGGTAGTGGAAAAAGAAGGAAAACGAGATAGGGGGGGGGGGATTAAATCGGTGGAGGAAAAAAGCCCGGGATGAAACAGAGGAGGGGGAGGAGTCGGATGGGATGGGGCGACGATTGCCGCGTTTACAAACGCCGGCTCTCCCGTGTAAGGAGTGACCTACGGCCCCTCTGCTTCGAAACGAGAAAATTACACGCGGGCGATTTCGCGAATTGCTCTCCCCACCCTTTCTCTCCGAGAGCTCGATACCCCGGGAAAATGGAGCACCCGCACGAGGGGTCAAGCTTCGAGGGCTTAATTTCCGGTTCCGCGATACAAGCGTGGCATTTATTTTACCAGCCAAAGTGCCACCACCAACGATTTCTCGTTCGACGATCCCGAGAGCTCCGTACCCGGGTCCCTGTAATCACGGTAGACACCAAATTACCTTCAATCGCCACCATCCCTCATGATACAGTACACACTCTCCGAATTGGGCGAGCCCCCGATGTACACATCCCACTTTTACTTTCTTGCAGATATACACATCCACCAACTTGCTTATCCTTTGGGCGATCGGCCCCCCTTTGAGCCGCACGTCTCATTAGGACTCGCGTGTATGACATAATACGGCGCGTACAAAGGTACACACATATACGGGCGCTCGTTATGCACGGGCGCTTGAACGTTTGACCCGGCTACCGAGTCTCTCTCTCTCCGTATACATAGAAGCCAGGCATGATGTAGGCTGCACGAGTGGATGCACTTATAATGCAGGCCGTCCTCGTCTTTCACAAGCGCTTATTAACCCCGTGCGATGGCAGGTACAAGACTCGCCCGCCCCGGAGCTGCTATTGTGCAGGCCGTTGTTCCTCGTATACCGGCACACCCAACCACGCGCCCAACCATTATCGGAAAGTAAAATTGGAAAATTGCAATCGCGAGCGGAATAACGCGTTTTCCACCCCCCCACCCTCTCTTTGGGTATAGCGACTCGCGTGGAATCCGTGTCTCATCCTTTTGACGTGAACGGTGTATTATACGTGTAGTTCGTCTCGAAGCGAACTATTGTATACCTGTTGGTGCTCACCCTTTCACCGACGAAAGCTCTCTGGCGAGTTAATAGCCGCTCGATCGACACTTTTTTTCCAACCGGAATTTTGAAACTCGCGAGGGGGAGAAAGTTCCGCGTGATCGTGTACGAGGGGGGAAAGAAAAAAAAAAGTTGGGGATGGTCGGGTGGAGGGTTGAACAGTCAACAAAAGGACACGCGAGCGAGTTAATCCACTTTGGCGCGATTTAGTGCGAATCGCTGTAGCTTTCGTCAGCCGCCGCGGAGCGGAAAGGGGTGGGAGGGCGAGGGAATGTTTAATCGAGTCCGGGCTCATCGAGGATAATTAAAAGCCGCGGATTACGCGACACTTTGCGAGAGCGGCCCTCGCGTCGGGGATTAACGTGATAATTATACACATCTCGGAGTTTAACGGAAGGGGAGGGAAGTAAAAGGGTTTATTTCTTTTTTTTTTTTCGTCCTTTTGTACTTTCATTTCCAACGGATATTACGCGTCCTCGTTATCCCCCGTTTAGGGGAGGGAGAGCTTATTGTGAGTTGTGCCAAAGGGATTTTAATTGCCATTTTCTGTTTTCGCCATCCGTGATGATTTTGGGAACGCGAGAGCGACCGATTGCGAGGGATTTTCTGTCGGATGTGCACAATCGATGAATTATCTACCAATGTTTGCCGAGAAAATCGTTTTGTTTGGGGAAAATGGAAGCTCGCTCGTAGCATAATTCCCCGAAAATACGAATAATTTCCGGAAACAAAATGTGATTAATTTTTCTCGCATGAACGTTCGTTTCACGCGAGTGAAGGAGAAAAATCGCGAACGAGTAACTCATTGACGCGTAGTTGCACTTGGCGAGATGAGCGTTTTTCCTCGTGGCCAGGCGTTACTGTGATTCATGCAAATAAATTTGCTCAAGTGCTGTCCGAATCAAAGCACCGTTGAGAGTAAGTGTCAAGCAAACGTTTAGATTTATGCTCTGTGAATGACGAGCGAGCAAAAATAGAATGGTATCGTCAAGTACACCGTGGTAATTAGCAAAGGAAAAAAAAAAAGATTTAACCAATCTGCAAGATGTTTGAAGACGAGGACACGTAAGTGCCGTTGAGTCACGCGCACCTACCTCGAGGTGTGTAAAGCGACACCCGATATACCTCGTCAATAACGCGAGATGCACGTATCGCATGAAAAAAAGCAGAGAGACTTGCAAAAGCAACGACAAAAAAAAGCAATCCAGGGCTAATTACAAGCCACCGTCATTTTGACTGTGCCTTAATTTTCACGCGGACTCGGGAGGACCATCACCTCAAATTGTCCGAAACGTTTAATTTCGGGGGGAAAAAAATATTAAAAGAGCCGTGGCTTCACACAAACGGCGCCGGCTTAATTGACCCTTGTGACGAAACTCGAAAGAGCTAGACCACTTTTCGGGCGCTTGGGGGGAGGGGTGAAATTAAAAGAGAGGTAAATGCGCAACAACGTCTAGGGTAATTATCGCTACTTTTAACATGTATTATGAGACATACGCGGTGCCTACTCGCAAGATCGTGTACGTAAAGTTGCAATTTTCGAGCTTTCCTTGCGTAATCGCGAGCTCTAGATGGTAATTGTTATCAATCACGAACACCCTTCGTATGTTATTAGTAATACTTATGGCCCTACCCCCACGAAACAAAACCCTCTGCTATAAATTACTCTTTTTCATCGAGCGCTACTCTCTTACACAGCCCCCCAAAAGGCTCAATGACAACAACGAAAAAAAAAAAATAAATAAATAAAAATCAATCCAGTGCATGTAACTTTCACCAGAGATCCCGTAAACTCCCCATCGAATCCACCGAGAGACGAGTGCTCGGGGAGTGCGAACGAAAAATCGCCACGATTTGGCTGGGATCGGCTGATTTGCAATCATTATTCCGCGGTTATGGCTGCGAAAAATACCGACAGGAGGGGGACAAAGTTCCCCTACAGGATCCCGCCTCGTCGAGATGCAAAACTATGCAAAAGTATTTCGCAGGAGGACCGGGGAGGATTATTTATCTCCCCTTGGGGAAATTTCATTGAGCCGAGGAGTGATAAGGAAGGGCAGAGCACTGGGGTTTGCCGGTTGGAGGAATAGTTAACGGGATTACACGCCAACGGGGTGAGAAACTCTTTGGATTTTTCCGATGGTTTTTGACGAACCGAAGCTGAGTCGCGGTGGGGGTGGGTGGTGCAGTTTTCAAGTAGGTATCAAAACATTGAAAAATAAAAGCACAGCAAGGCGCTTCTCGCAAACGCTGGTAAGAAGCTTGGGGCAAAAATCCCTCGTCGGAGGGGGGATGCTTAATAAATTAAATCCGGCAAACAATGGGGAGCACCGCGCGTCGAGCGGAGAGGAGCACACAAAAGAAATAATTCAGCTCAGGGAGAGTCTACGACGAGCGCACAAGGAGAAGAGGCGAGACGAGACTCGAAGTATCCTCTAGTCCTCGATGCATCTTCCCTCGTATACGGAAAAGGAAAAAGAAAAAAAGGCCGAAGGATGGAAGCTGCAGCGGGCGTCTCTCGTGGGCACTTGGCATAATAAATAGTAACCGCAGAGCGGAGAACCGAGCTTTAGAGGGGAGGGAAAAAAAAGACCCGGCTGTCGGACTAATGCACCCGGGAACTTTACTGTATACCACCGCTTCCACTGCTGCATATACACACGCAGATGCTGCAACTTTTTTTTTGTCCCCTCTTGAAATTAAAGCTCTCCGTATCGCTAGTCAAAAATGATGCAGTGGAGCGTGCTTTTGTTGGGAGCTTTTTTTCATGTCGCCCACGGCGTTTGTTCGTAATTGGAGGATTTGCTGGGATGGAGGGGTTTAAAGGGGACCCGAAAATGGGTCAAGAGGCTCGTGAGGGACTTGTTTTACTTGGTAATGGGAAAGAGGAATCGCTAAAAATGTTAATTTGACTGCCAACTCTCTCTCTCTCTCTTCTCCTTGTTTTAAATGGCGATTCGAGTGGCCCTTTGCTACCGAGTGCGGTAGTACCGTTCGCTCTCGTCGTTACGATGATTTTAGTGTGGCATAGTGGTGGCATTAGTTTCACGGGAAGCCCTTACCGAGCTGTCGAGTAGCTCTCATGCCGGTACTCGGGGATCATATACAGTATATAGACGAGATCATCAGACCGATTGAAAAAACAATAGTAAACACAACCCAAAAAAAGGATCCAAATGGAAAAAAAGGTCAGCACTAACCTTGACGTTCAGCATGGTTGGCAAGGAATCTCCAGTTGTGGATAGGAGCGAGTAATGATCAGTCGAACAATCAACGTCACTTGGGGCCGAAAAACAAAAACAAAAACAAAAAAAACTAAAACAAAACTTTGTTCCAGAGATGAAGAAGAAGACAACGTGTGTGACGCAGCCGCGCACTTCTCGGTTGGCTCTTCCCCGGCGATGAGGCGAGGCTCCTTATATACAAAACAGCCGGCGTACCAACGGCGCTTGAGCTCCCGGGGCCTAGCACTATAGCTACGCGAGGCGCAGATGCCGCATAGAGAGGCAGTGAAAGGGGTCATCCCCCTCCTCCTCCCCCTTTACTTCTTCTTCTCTCTCTTTCTTGCGTGTGTGTATGTGTGTTTTATGCCCTCCTCCGCCTCCTGCACACTCGTCTGAACTATGTTATACCGCTGACGGACCTGCCGCGCGCATCATCATGCACCTCTACCCGCTCGTTTTTCCCTGTCCGTCTCTAATTCGTCTTCGTCCACGTTTGGCCTTATTTTTCTTTTTCTTCTTTTTTCGTTGTTTTCCCTTCTCCTTGCATACATTTCGGTTCCGGATAAATAAATATTGCCATCAGAGAGTGGTTGTCCCTCCCTCTTTTTTTTTTTCCGCCCGAGGCATCCCAAGACCGCGAGGTGATCGGCGACAGGTGAGGGCGGAGCAGCTCTCGCGCGTGCGAGGGATTCCTCGGGATGAGTATAGTGCGCCGCGATCGAAGGCTCGGGGGACGATTTGGAAATTTAGATTCTTATCTCCCCCCCATCCCACCCTCCGTGGCTGTTGTCTTTCTCTTTTATACCGCGGATAGAGGTGACTATATACGTGTGTGCAGCCATGACAATTGCTTTTGATCGGTGTATATATGAGTGATGGTCTCTGTAGGTGTATACCTCCATGGTTGGAGAGTGTGAATAATCCCGCGAGAGGCGCGACCTTTTGCGATGAGCATAAACAATTAAGGACCATTGCGTAAATTATTCAGACCATCCTTTATTATATTGGGTTGTTTTGCGACTTGCCCGTTTTCGTAATAAAGCTGGTATATAGACGCGTTCCACGCGAATGACGCATCATTGACAAAGGGGACGGCGCGTATTTTCCTCCGCCAACGCGATTGGAAACGATCGGCTGCACGCGCGCACGTCTCTCCTAATGGAGAAATTATTTTCACTTTTCTCTAAATTTCGCCTTGGCGATACCAACGGTATATCTTCTTCCTGGCAGTGGAGAGGAGCTGTTATACGCACGGAAAGACGCATCCGTTTTTCCGCGATCGAAATCCAATTTCAAGTCTCGCGCGGACTGTCGCGTCCGACTTTGTACTACTGCACCGGCCACTTCCGGCTTACCACCCCCCGAACCATCTACGCCAAAGAATCCCGGATAGTTCCTTTAAAATTGCACGACGGGAAGGACGGACTCCGCGATCCACCCCTTTTGGATATGGATTCGATTACCCTCGGGTAAGTACATAGCCGGATAGAGGGGGCGAGTTTTTTTGCTTCACTGGATGGTCATCGAATGAAATGTGATACCGATCGGGAAAAAATTGTGATCGCGTTGAAAAAAGTAATCACACTGATCGCGAGTATCCAAAATAAGGCGTTTTTAATATCAATTTACCTCCAATGCAATCGAATAAAAGCTCTAAAAAATTATTAAACTCTGTGTTCAATGGTTTACTGACCATCCACTGATTTTTTTTCATTTGTAACAATCACTACTCAAAGTGACCAGATTTCCACTATTTTCCTTTACAAGTATTACCATAAATCGGTGAATATTATTCCCTGGTTCATTCCAAGAGAGAAAACTTAAAGCAAGGGTCTTGAAAAAAAAAAAAAAAAAAAAAACATCCCAGCATCGACTACCCCCTCGATACCTCTTAACATCCACTCAGGCGCCCTTCGCGTGGATTTTTGTTTGCACTGTCGTCGGGCTCTCCCTCCTCTTCGGAGACTCTGTTTCGTCAAAGTGGGAAAAGTGTATACACAAGAATCCCCTCGTTGCGTGTCGCGCCGTCTTGTACATTCATTTATTCTCTAAAAGGTTGATCGATCAAATGTATCCTTCGAACCCTGTAGGCTCGGATTGTTGTATAACCCCAACAAATGGGTTGCTTTGTCATGAAAAAAAAAAAAAAAAAAAAAAAAAAAAAAAAAAAAAAAAAAAAAAAAAAAAAAAA